CAGAATCATCCTTCAAGGTCCTCCAATAACAGCAACAGCCTGTAAACAGTTTTGGAAGCTAAACTAATAAGATAACTGGTGAGCTGAAGCTGGGGGTCGGGGTCAAAACCAGGGATGAAATCTAGAAGGTTCTGACAGGTTCTGGAGAACCGGTAGCGGAAATTTTGAGTAGTTCGGAGAATTGGCAAATACCACCTGGCCCCAGAGTGGGGTGGGAATGGAGATTTTGTGGTATCCTTCCCCTGCCATGCCCACCAAGCCATGCCCACCAAGCCACACCACCCTACCAAGCCACGCCCACAGAACTGGTAGTAAAAAAATTTGGATGTCACCACTGGTCAAAACCACATCATTGTTGGATAAAACAACGGTTTTGGAATTTCTGTTTCAAATGAACAATAAGCTGTGCCCTTCATTTCTTAAACGATTTATGAGACTATTGTTTTTACAAGCTAAAGAGGCTCTCTTTAGTTACAGTTTACAACCCTTTTTTGAAGCTTTGAATGCCATTTTTGAGACTTCTTCTTTGCTATAAAACAACAGGGAGAGGATTGCTAGAGGTACCCAAAATAAGAAAGCAGGGAATATTCTTTTGTTTGAAATATTAGGATAAAAGTTGTGGATTTAATCTACTACTTTTAAAATAATTAGTTGCTCTGTATTGTTTTGTTGTGGGTGGTTGAAATCTGCCGATTTCTGCTTGGTTTGTGCTATAGTATGTCCTAGATATTGATAGTTATAAAGTCTACTTTAACTACCTCTCCACTTCTGGAACTCTTAGCAATGTAAGATGGCTAAGTTATTATTCAGAAATGGCAGAGGAGGTGGTCAATTTATTTTCCATAGCACCAGAGGGTAGGACAAGAAACAAGGGATGGAAACTAATCAAGGAGAGAAGCAACCTGGAATTGAAGAGAAACTTCCTAACAGTGAGGAAAATTAACCAGTGGAATAACTCGCCTTCAGATGTGGGTGTTTCTTCCCTGGAGGTTTTCAAGAAGAGACTGGACAGCCACTTGTCCCTCCCTCCCTCCTTCCCTTCCTTCCCTATAGCCACTTGTCTCAACCAGATTTCAATGTTTATGCCAGCCATGATTCCAAGGCAAGAGAAGAGAGATGGAAATGATCCTCTAGGAAAACTTGGTGGTATCAAGATGCCTTGTTCTATAGGTAGCTGGTATGATCACCTTCCATATACCAGGAAGTTGTCTGCTACCACCCTCCCATTTATTATTATTATCTCTTTTATTCATTAAACATGAAACTCAGTCAACTGAACATTTTAAAATGTGTCACAAATACCATTGACTGGTACTAACGGTTGATATGGGTTGCTGCCAGTGTCCTAGGTATCAACCAAATATCTTCTTAAAATATACGATGTTCCAAGTACCACAGTTTTTTGCAGTTCCGCTGGTGTTATTACAGGAAGCTGCAATTTCTTGAAGTGTGTTGAAAAATTCTTGGACATGGTACCAAATGCCCCGATGACAATGAGTATCACTGTTATTGTTATTGTTGTTGTTGTTGTTATTATTATTATTATTGCCTTTATTGTCATTGTACATCATGTATACAATGAAATTGGTTTAGCCTCTACTGGTGCAATCCATAACAAAAATACAGGACAACATAAATAGTATAGAAAATAGTCCTTATGCAACTAATTAGGAAAAAAACTAGTCATACGTTTCCATATGTACGTGGAGTGATTGTGGTTGTGTTTAGAAGTCTGAGAGCCCATGGGTAGAAGCCAGTGATGGGATTCAAGTAATTTAACAACTGGTTCTCTGCCCTAATGATTTCTTCCAACAACCAGTTTGCCAAACTGCTCAGAAAGTTAACAACCGGTTCTCCCGAAGTTGTGCAAACTGGCTGAATCCCACCACTGGTAGAAGCTGTTTTTAAATCTGTTTGTCCAGCTGGCTATACTTCTGTGTCTTCTGCCCAATGGTAAAAGTGAGAAGAGATACTGACCAGGGTGTAAATCTGTCAGCCCTGGAAATCAACTTTTTCTTCAGGGCTGCCACACTTGGTGCCTGGGAAAACAGGAGGGGGGAATTACAAGAAGTCAGTGGAAATTTATAGCCATAACAACATTCTTTTCTCTGGGAGTCAAGGACGTTCAGCTTTCACCTGGATGGAAGTAACTGGGGGATTGTTTCCATTTGGGACGATGAGATGATTGGACCATGTGATGGACTTGTGGGTGCAGGAGATGGATCTTTGACTTTCTTTTGGGTGGGGAAAACCCGGAACTCTCCCGGATTCAGGTTTTCCCAGATGTGCCAATATGACATCTCTAATAAAATGGAACTTTGAGGAATTGCTGGCCTCAGAGTCATCTTTCATTAGGGGTGCTACTTGGAACTCTGGCATTAACCTGAATCTGCTTTTAAAACTCTAACCAGCTCCCCGATAGGTGGGGTGCTGTCTGGGGTTCTGAACCCCAAGTGCTGACCCACCACCTGGGTGGCACAAAGATTCAGGGAAGATGGAGGAGAAGGTGGCAACCAAGGAGGGAGCTCCTGGGACTGGCACAAGGGTCCACCTCGAGACCATCTACTCCCCTCCTGAATATGTGGTGCAAGCAGCAGAGGCCGCCGAAGCAGAACGCCGACAAGGCGCCAGGCCCAAAGAGCCAATGCCTTGGCAACCCGCTCAGCCACATCCCTCCCAGTGGGGAGGGAGTGGGTCCTGCAGCCACCATTGTGAAGCCAGTCGCTGACGGGTCTCTGGGAGCAGTTCAACCAGATCAACATGGGCAGTTAAGTGCCGCCACCCCAGACCAGACAACCGGGATGGGTTCTGGCTCCACCCACGTTCACCTTCCCAGATCCAGGGTCCGCAAGCGCACACAATGTAGCAACAATGTCTTTTCACTCGGCCCGGGACAAAGCATGGCCCCGGGTCCCTCACCAGGCCTAATCTACCAGGATGACAGCTCCTATCAGAGTCAGAGTGGCACAGAAAGTGGAGCCGAGGGGTTTGATGAGGACGCCCCCCCCTCACCAATTGGTTTTCAGGCTGCCACCAGCCAAGCAGATTCCCCCAGGCTGGGCTTTCTACCCCAGCCAGGGGTGGGTGCAGTGCCAATGGATGTCAGGGCCAGCATCGCTGCCCACCCCAGTTCCACCACCTATTCCACCAGCCACAGCCCCTGCCGCACAGCCGCCAAGGTTCAGAGCAACTTTTGACGGAACCCCAGAAAGTTGGCTTACTTTCTCAACTGAATCTGGGCCTACATCAACCGCTATGGAGACCAATACCAAACGGACCACGATATAATATCAGCCATCGCCAACGGGATGAATGAGGGGGATGTTGTTGCAGATTGGATAGCCCAGCAACACGATGAAGATGCCCCTGAGTTAGATGGTGCTGATGAGTTTGTCCAACTCTTCCAGCTCAGGTTTGAGGACATGTACCATAGGGAGAAGACTGAGGCCCAAATCAAGATTCTGAAGCAGGCAGGCTGCCTCCCTAAAGACTTTGTCTGGGAGTTCCAGAGGATAGCTGGGAAGCTTAGGCATTGGCCTGAATCACTCCTCATCCATTACTTCAAAGAAGCTATAGATCCAGAATTTAGGGAGGCTTGTGGCATTGGGAGGTTCCAGACTGACTGCAGGACTGGTATACTATAGTTGTGGCGATGGATAAAGAAATCAACCCCCAGCGGAAACCCATTCTGGGGAAGCCAGCCAGGAGAGTCCTAGGCCGCAGAGTCCCGGCGAAGCCAGCTGAATCACCACCTTCCGCGCTGGTTGGAACAATAAAGTGCTTCAGATGTGGCCAACTGGGACACAGGGTGTCTGAATGCCTAGCTCCCACCCCCGTTCCCAGCTTCATCCACAGCCCGGGGAAGGCGAATCCCAAGGAAGCCACTGGAAGAGCGTCTATTCGTGGAAGAGGCAATCCTCCAGCACCCTGACCCTGAGAGGCAGTTCATAGTCCAAGCTGATGCCAGCGACGCTGTGGTGGCAGCAATACTCCTCCAGTAGGACCCCTGGGGCCAGCTATTGCCCTGTGCTTACATGTCTAAAAAACTAACAGACACTGAGCGGCAATGGACGATCTGGGGAAAGGAAGTACAGTACTTCCATCGATTTAACTTTGAACTCAAATACATCCCGGGGGGGGGAATCTGCTAGCAGATGCACTATCGAGGAAACCCCAATTCTATAGCCAGCGGGAAGAAGTAGTCCATGCCATAATTCCTTACTCACAAAACACGGTGCAGGTCACCACCAGGGGACAGACCAGATACTGAGCTGACCCCTTGGAAGGAAAATTAAACAATGAACTAAAAGCAACACTTCCAACTGATCAATGGCTCTCTGAAAACAGAGAAACTCTAACCATGAGAGAGGGGGTACCTGGAAGGTATCCAAGCTCTATGTCCCCAATAACTTGAGACTAGAAATCTTAAAGCACAACCACAATTCGCGGCTACCGGCCACTTCGGATTCCTAAAAACCCTCCACTTGGCTCGGAGGCAATTCTGGTGACCAAAGATAAAAGCTGATGTGGAAGACTACGTAAAGAGCTGCACCACTTGTGCTATGATGAAAATAAGGCCAGGAAAACCCCCTAGGCTCCTCCAACAAGTAGCTGAACCCAGCTGAACTTGGGAAGAGATTGCCATGGATTTTATTATAGAACTCCCAGAGAATGGGGGAAACACCGTGATCTGGACTGTGACTGATTTGTTTTCTAAACAAGCCCACTTCACTGCTTTCTCTGGATTACCCTTGGCCAAGAAATTGGCTAAGATGTTCATCAGACAAATCTACCGGCTACACGGAGTGCCATGATGGGTGATTTCAGACAGAGGAGTCCAGTTCACCTTGAAGTTTTGGAGAGAGTTCCTGAGGTCCATCGGGTCATCTCAGGGACTTAGCTCGGCTTTCCATCTGAGTACGAACGGAGCCATGGCACGTGCAAACGCCATAGTGGAACAACCTTTCTTTTGACAGCAAGTGGAACTCTTAAATCAAATATCAATATTAACCACTTTTATTCAATTTTACTGGTCATATTCAAAAAGATAAATATGTTAGCTTTTTACATAAATAGTTTCAGCATTTTAAAATGTCTATCCAAAACCAACACCTATCCAATTTGAAAATCCAATTTTCTGTATTTTTGACCATTTTTCTGTTTTCTTCCCTTTGATTCTTTTTCCTTCCATTTTAAAATTTTACTCAAAATGTTAAGTTGCAGCTACTTTAAAAATAATTATGAGTCTCTCTGTTCCTGGATATTCTTTTGGGGTTAATCTTTGAATAAAAAGGATTCTTCTCCTCCAGTTCCAGACGCTGTTCACCAACTCTGCTCCAGCACAATTCTAAGATGTTAAGCTGTCCTGGCTTTTTGGCAGCCATCTTAGACTGCCTCTTCTCCTCGCCGTGGCATAGAGGGGGAAAAAAGCCCTTGGATTCTAGGACTAAATGGAAGGTAATATGTTTATTGGCACCCAAAAGGAAACTAAGTTAAAATGTAACAAACTTACTTAGCATATTATTCACACACTTTTTATGGTGTTTTTAAAAGTTTAAGCCTGTGTGGGAATAGCACATAATTTGTAAGGGTGTGGGTGCATTGTCATCTTTGCAACAGGTTCTTCGTTAAGTTCTTTCACTCCTTCAGGCAACCGGAAGCTGAAGGCCCTCAACAGGCTGGTCAGAACAATGAAGATCTCAATTCTTGCCAGCTGCTGTCCAACACAGGCACGTTCACCTATAGATGAGACAAAGCATGCATAAAGAGGATAATAATCTGTTCTCCAGAGTATACCCCATTATCATAAAACCTTTATAAAATCCTATTAAGATCATACTCGGAATATTGCAACCATATTTTGGTCACCATATTAAAAAAAAGTTGTTGAGACTTTGGAAAAAGTTCAAAGAAGGGCAATTAAACTGATCAAAGGCCTGGAGATTAAACCATATGAAGAATGGCTGCAGGTCTTAGGTTTGGCTAGACTAAAGAAAAGGAGAATTGGGGTGACATGATAAGAGTATTCCAGTATTTTAATTTAATTTAATTTAATTTCCAATTTATATACCGCCCTTCTCCCTGAGGACTCAGGGCGGTGTACAGCCAAGATAAAAAACATAGAATACAAATATTAAAACATTTAAAAATATATATAAATTTTGGCCCGAAAGTTAAGAATCACAGACTAATTAAAAGAATTTAAAAATTTTAAAAATTTCTTCTTAGGCCAACCCGGCTTGTTGAAAAAGATGGGTTTTCAGGGAACGACGGAAGGCATTGAGGTCCTGGATTCTTCAGTATTTGAGGGGCTGCCACAAAGAAGAGGGGGTCAAATTATTCTCCAAAGCACCAGAGGGCAAGACAAGAAACAATGGTTGGAAACTAATCAGAGAGAGAAGTAATCTGGAATTAAGGAGAAACTTCCTAACAGTGAGGACAATTAACCAGTGGAACAGTTTGCCTCCAGAAATTGTGGGTGCTTCATCATTGGAAGTTTTTAAGAAGAGACTAGACCAGGGATGTCAAACTTAAGGCCTGCCAGACCAGCCTGGAAACAGTGAAGGACCGGCCAGTGGAGTCTCTGACAGCAAAAATGGAGTTTGGGTGGGCAGTGCACCAGGCTCCGTTTTCACTGGCAGTGGCTGCCGTGGCTGAAAACACCCCTTTTCTGCCTCTGTTTTTGCTGGCAAAAGGCTAGCAAAACAAACTAAAAACAAAACAAAAGGAGAAATGTTTCCCCTTTTGCATTTGAGCATCCAAGAAGGGGCAGGAAAGGAGAAAGGGAAAGAGGAAAGACAAAGAAAAAAAAAACATGGCAAGTTGTGAAGATGGGAAGGAAGGAAGGAAGGAAGGAAGGAAGGAAGGAAGGAAGGAAGGAAGGAAGGAAGGAAGGAAGGAAGGAAGGAAGGAAGGAAGGAGATTATAATGAGAGTGAGGGAAGTCCTGTTTTAGCACTTGACCCCACAGGTGCCCTCAGCACAAGTGATGTCGAGCTGGCCACACACACCCTGTCCCCCCAAGGTCAAACACAACTCTGATGCGGCCCTCAATAAAATTGTGTTTGATATCTCTGGACTAGACAGTCACTTGTCACTTGAGCAGGGGGCTGGACTAAGGTCCAGGTCCCTTTCGTATCCTATCCTATCCTATCCTATCCTATCCTATCCTATCCTATCCTATCCTACCCTACCCTACCCTACCTTACCTTACCCTACCCTACCCTACCCTACCCTACCCTACCCTACCCTACTCTATATTCTATTCTATTCTATTCCATTCCATTCCATTCTCTATTCTATTCCATTCCATTCCACTCCACTCTACTCTACTCTACTCTACCCTACTTTATATTCTATTCTATTCCATTCCATTCCATTCTCTATTCTATTCTGTTCCGTTCGGTTCCATTCCATTCCTCTCCACTCCACTCCACTCCACTCCACTCCACACTATTCTACCCCACTCTATATTCTTTTCCATTCCATTCCATTCCATTCTACTCTACTCTATTCTACTCTATTTTCCATTCCATTCCATTCTATTCTAGGAAATCTGAAACATTTGGTAACAGCCAAAATAGATTTCCATGCTGAATCCTAGTCTCTTCCAGCAGATTCAATTCTTAGGGATGTTTCCTCCCATTTAACTGTTTGTTGACACCCAGCAGGGGGGGTGACTTTAAGTCAGATTGTACTAGATGGTGCACCATTTCAAATGCAAAGCTATGCACCCATGAAAAATCTGATCTCACATATTTTTCCAGAGATTGGCCTACAAGAGGGAAGTCACTTTCTCACCTTCTGTCCAGCAACTTATTTTATGGTGCATCAGTAAGTAATTGGACCACATTTGACTTTTTTTTTGGTCAGGGACTTAAATATTCATGCTCATATTGTCAGCTCAGGAATGGTCCAGGATGTCACGTTTGTTATAGATCTGTCCCAATTACTAGAAGAAATTAGGATTCCTTGATTTCCTATTCAAAGCATGATGACCTCAGAACAACTCAGATGATGTGGTGGGAATCCGTAAATTGTAAGCTTCTCAGAATCACTTGCTAATCAGATGAGTGGAATATAAAATGTAATAAAAAAATAAATGAAATAAGAAATGAGTAAGCCACTTTGAGCTCATGGATTTACCCATTCCGAAGGGCAGAAACTCTTCCCGTTCAATGAACTTCCCATCCTTATCTAAAAAATGATTTGGATTGAATTTTTCAGGTGTCTCCCATTGCTCAGGATCAAGAAGAACAGAGCGCAGGTCTGGGATGATAAAGGTCCCCTGTAAAAAAAAAAAAAAAAAAAAAAGATGATTAAACAGAACAGTTTCATAAAGGAAAGATACAAAAAAGTTCAAACAATATTGATGCAACCCTTGTTCATAGCAATAGCAATAGCACTTAGACTTATATACTGCTTCACAGTGCTTTACAGCTCTTTCTAAGCGGTTTACAGAGTCAGCAGAGTTACCCACCTCGGAAGGATGGAAGGCTGAGTCAACCTTGAGCCTGGTGAGATTCGAACTGCCAAATTGCAGGCAGCCAGCAGTCAGCAGAAGTAGCCTGCAGTATTATCTAACCACTGCACCACCATGGCTTTTATTTATTCATAGCTTGCCTTTACGGATCCATGTTTGTTCATTTCTCAGAGCAGTTTCTGAGAGCAGTGGCTGCTCAACAGCTTAGCTTCCTTTCTCTTAACTAACCTCACCTTGTCTCTTGAAGAGGGGGAGAAAGAAACATGGCTAATACATGACTACAGTTCTGATCTCAAGTTCAGCCCCTAAACTCTTATCAACTTCCTAGGATAAATATAAAACGTTTAAGATTCTAGCTATAAAATCTGAGAGATGTTTGGAGTTAAACCCATCATTCATCCCTTGCTATTCTTGCTTATTTGCTACTCTTGCTTATTTAATTTTGCATGACTTATTGGCACTTCCCACATAGACATCAAGTGTCCTATTCTCTTTTTCCTTCCACGTTGGGCTACTGCAATGCATCCTGAACATGTTTCCCACCTTTGGAATGTGATATCCCCTCATCGTCACATCCTTTGTGCTTTGCCTGGGAACTCCATATAGCATGACATATTTTAAACGCTGCATTTCATGAATCACGGCATTGGTGTAAGGCAGCTTCTTCCGATCCTGGTAGGAAATTGACCCCGAGGAACCAAACGCATCTTCAATCTCTTTCTGGACTTTCTCTAGAAAATAATGACGGAAACAGAAGCTTCATGTTCAATATTGTGTGTTTTTTTTATTCCTTTGTTCATTTATTTATCCATTTCCCAATTTTATTCCTCAGAAATATCAATCAATCCTTTATTATGATCACAGGCCAGAGTTAAAAATTAAAACTTTTAAAACAGTTAAACAGAACATGACATAATATTTTAACTAATGGTGAGATCATCAAGATATGGCCTAATTTTACCTTTTTATAGAATAATTTAGCTACATTCAAAGAAACGGTGTCATACTGATCCAATAGTAACAACTGTACATAACAGAGATGAGAATTTCCCAGAATGTATTACCAGGTAAGGAGTTAAAAAAGGAGTGCAGAATCCTTATAGACTGGAGGGAATAATATAATAAGGACTGAAAAGAGCCCTGGTAGCGCAGCAGACTAAAGCACTGTTACTAACATCAGCTGCCTTGCAATTACTGCAAGTTCAAATCTCACCAGGCTCAAAGTTGACTCAGCCTTCCATCCTTTCTAGTAGATAAAATGAGGACCCAGATTGTGGGGGCAATAAGCTGACTTTGTATAAAATATACAAAAGTATGAAGGCTATTGCTTAATGCATTGTAAGCCGCCCTGAGTCTCCGGAGAAGGGCAGCATATAAATCAATTTTTTAAAAAAAACCTGTAGTTTCAGTGGCCCCTTGTCCACGGGGGCACAATGGCAGTTCATAAAGTGTAAAGATCAAGGTTTCTCCTGTCCAGTCATGTCTGACTCTAGGTAGCAGTGCTCATCTCCGTTTCTTAGTTGAGCCATGTCTGAAGACATTTCCATGGTGTTTTTCCCAAACGCCATCACTCTGCTAAACAAATAGTTCCCTCAACACTGTCAAACTATTTACTAAATCTGCATTACTATTAATCTTCTCATCGTTCCCATCACCCATCTCCTTCCACTTATGACTGTATGACTGTAACATTTTTGCTTGTATCCTTATGATTTATATTGATATTGTTTCCTGATTGCTTATTTGTTCCCTATGACTATCATTAAGTGTTGTACCTTATGATTCTTGATGAATGTATCTTTTCTTTTATGTACACTGAGAGCCTATGCACCAAGACAAATTCCTTCTGTGTCCAATCACACTTGGCCAATAAAAAAATTAAAAAATATATATTCTATTCTATTCTATTCTATTCTATTCTATTCTATTCTATTCTATTCATGGTCATGTGGCCGGCATGAATATACACCGAGGCTCACAGAACACTGTTGCATTCCCACCGAAGTGATACCTATTTTATATAATATAGTTTTGATATGCACCACTTTTAATGGAGTTGTGGAAAATCATGTCTAAATATTTAAAGATTTTTATTTCTTCAGTATTCTGGATGTTTATCCTCCAGGCATGTGGTGAGGTCTCTTTACAAAAATGAAGATTTTAGTTTTATTATTGTGGAAATCAAAAATACTCCCTTGGAGCAATACCTGGTCAGGGCATTCAGGACTTATTTGAGTCCAATTAATGTTTGTGGGAAAGTATTGTGTTGTCTGCATATAACACACTTGTAATATGAATGTTTTGGAAGGTGATGTTCTAATCAATTCATTTTGGCCATAATTGGGTTAATAAATATTGTACATTAAACAACAGAGGACTAAAATATATCCCTGCCTCATTCCTTTGTGAGTTGGGATCAGTGGTGGGTTCCTCCCAGTTCGGTCCAGTTCAGCTGAGCCGGTAGCGGTGATGATATGACATCACCGAACCGGTTCTCCCCCCCCCGCCGTCCCCCCCAGCCCCCCACCCCCGTTATTCTTACCTTTTATTTGGTCCTACCCCCAATCTATTGCTGCCTCCTGAGTCCCAGCTGATGACTAGAGGGAAAAAAAACTGTTTAAACTCTTGCTGCCGGGCTTCAAAGGGCCGCCCTACAGCTGATCAGTGTTAAAAGCAAACAAATGAATCGGGTCGTAAGTGCAAGGACTGGTCGTAAGTGCAAGGACCTTCCAGAAATGACTCTGACCAGCTAGCCACGCCCACCTAGTCACATGACCTCCAAGCCACACCCACAAAATAAGCCACGCCCACAAAACTGGTAGTAAAAAAATTTAGAACCCACCCCTGGTTGGGATTCTTTTGGCATGGTGGCCTTGTATCCTGAAGTGAACACTGAATTTAGAGTTCTTACAAAGATTATGTATTAGAAGTAATCATCTCTTAACGGTGTCCTCAGTAATACGGTAGTCCTTGAGTTACAACCATAATTGAGCCCAAAATTTATGTTGCTAAGTGAAACATTTGTTAAGTGACTTTGGCCCCATTTTATGACTTTTCTTGCCACAGTTGTTCAGTGAATCATTCCATTTGCTCAGTTAGTAACACGGTTGTTCAGTGAATCTGGATTCTCCATTGACTTTGCCTGTTGGAAGCTCGCAGAAGGTGACCACATGACCCCAAGACACTGCAACCGTCATAATTATGAACCAGTTGCTAAGTGCCTGAATGTGACCATGGGAATGCTGCAACGGTCGTTTGGAAAATGGTCATAAGCCACTTTTTTCAATGCCGTTGTAACTTTGAATGGTCACTAAGTCAATGGTTGTAAGTTGAGGACTTCCTATACTTTAGGATCAGTGGTGAAATCTAAATTTTTTTACTCTGTGGGTGTTGCTTGGTGGGCATGGTTTGGTGGGTGTGGCAGAGGAAGGATACTGCAAAATTTCCATTCCCACCCCACTCCAGGGGAAGGATACCGCAAAATCCCCATTACCTCCACCCTCCTGGGGGAAGGATACTGCAAAATCTCCATTCCCACCCCACTCTGGGGCCAGCCAGAGGTGGTATTGGCCGGTTCTCCGAACTACTCAAAATTTCCGCTACCGGTTCTCCAGAACCTGTCAGAACCTTCTGGATTTCACCCCTGTTTAGGATGTATAAAAGCTTTTAAAGTATTAGATGATAAACCAAAATCACCTCCAATCTCCTTCTGCACTTTCTCTAGGAAAGAAATGACGGAAATACAAACTTAGTAAATGAAGGCAACTATAAGTATCCAAAGATAATGTTGCTGGATCCAATCTGGGTCAGTCACCAGGACCAGAGGTTTAATCTTCTGAGATTTTGGACTTGTGTTGGAGCCCATCCTCAGGGATCTCCTCTCTACTGGAATGTAGACAACCCATTCGGATAGAGAGAACTTCCCTGAGGATGGTCTCTAGCATGAGTCCGAAAGCTGAGAAGACAAAGAAGCTCTGTTTCTGGTGACCAACCAAGATTGGATCTTGCTCCAAACTTTATTTTCAATATTGTTTTTCACTTATTTATTTCCCCTTTTTAATTCTTAGTCATACTTTAGGTTTTAGACTAACCTTCAGAGCATTAGGTGTAACCCCACCATCCTTTGAAGGAGTGCAAATTTAAAATTCCTGGGATATGACTAGTAAAGGTAAAGGTTCCCCTCACACATACATGCTAGTCGTTCCCGACTCTAAGGAGCAGTGCTCATCTCCGTTTCAGTGCCTTCCGAAGACGTCTCCGTGGTCATGTGGCCGGCATGACTCAACACCAAAGGCGCGTGAAACACAATTACCTTCCCACCAAAGGTGGTCCCTATTTTTCTACTTGCATTTTTTATGTGTTTTACATGCTATGACTAGATCCAGTCTAAATTGATTCAGAACATGGATGTAAATTGGTGATTTAATTCAAAGATTCCAATGACTCTCCTCAGACAAGTCAATCTCCAGATTTTAATTTCAACCAGTTTGGAAATCTGGTTAAATTTCTAAAAATGCGATAATTGTTTTGCCAATCATTTGGATCTTTTTTTTTTTTCCCCAAAAAAACCCAGCTATGTTCATTATCATCTCCTGATTTGGTCTCCTTCAAACAATTTAGGCTGGAAAAAAATTAAATAAAATCTGAAAACTTGGGTAGATTTCTGCATCTGTTTGACATTTGTACTGATTTCCAGTTTTTGGTTCCTCACTCAATACTTTATTGAGCATCTCAAAGAAGGCTCTCCGAATGTACCTTCTTTCAACCCTGGAGGCCATCTTTTTCTTTGGATCTTCAGGGCTGCCACACTTAGTGCTGTGGGAAACTGGGAGGGGCAAACTGGGAGCAACCCACCACTGGAATGCGGGTGTTACTTGGAACCCTGACACCTTCTATGCTTTCCTTTAATCCTGTTAAATTCATGTTCATAATTATAGGTTTGGGAATCCACAGGGAAATTACTATGAATAATAGATTCAGTTCATCACAGTCACTCGTCACTTCCCGCCTGGACTACTGCAATGTTCTCTACATGGGGCTCCCCTTGAGGAGCACCTGGAGGCTCCAACTGGTGCAGAATGCGGCCGTGTGGGGGATTATGGGAGCGAGGGGGCGCTCCCATGTGACACCTCTCCTGCGTGAGCTGCATTGGCTTCCAGTGGTCTTCCGGGTCTTCCGGGTGTGCTTCAAGGTGTTGGTTACTACCTTTAAAGCACTCCATGGCATAGGACCTGGGTATTTGCGGGACCGCCTTCTGCCGCTGATAGCCTCCCACCGACCAGTACGCTCCCACAGAGAGGGACTCCTCAGGGTGCCGTCAGCCAGGCAATGTCGGCTGGCGACCCCCAGGGGGAGGGCCTTCTCTGTGGCAGCACCTGCCCTCTGGAAAGATTTGCCCCTGTAGATACGAAGGATATCGGATCTCCGGGTCTTTCGCCGTGCCCTAAAAACTTTTCTTTTCCATCAAGCAGGGCTGGCGTGAACCCCCCCCCCTTTTTTTTTTTAGCTTTTTAAATTGTCAATGGGTTTTAGCTTGAATGTTTTAAATTCTGGGCCAAAGTCATGTAATTCTTTTAAAAATTTTAAATTTTGTATTGGTATGTGTTTTAGTTCTGGCTGTGCACTACCCTGAGTCCACTAGGAGAAGGGCGGTATACAAATTGAATAAAATAAATAAATAAATAAAATAAATAAATCATTCAACAGCCCTTAATATTTCAAAAAGTTTCAAATAATTCCTCTGTGTTTTAAAACCTGAGACTGGCCCTTGTGCCCATAACCCGAATTTCGCTCACCTTGGGTGTCGGGACGATTTGTCAGGAGGAGCAGTGCCCACATCAGAGTAGTGAAAGTTGTCTCTGTTCCAGCACCAAAAAAATCAAAAATACACTGAGCCAGGTTCTCTTCACTGTAGGTAGAATCGGGATCATTCTTGCTCTGGTGTTCAAAATGGAAAATGAAAGTTACAATGAATTCTATGTAATTTTCCTGTGGTTATTTTTGTTTCTGGGTTTCTGGGTGTTCTCCCCTAGACTCACAACTCCTGCTCAAACAGGAGGTGGCAGCCATAGCTAGGAGTATCTTTGTGCAACTTCACGTAGTGCCTTTTCCTGGATCGTGAAGTCCATGCAGTCATTCATGCCCTGGTCATCTCTTGGTTGGATTATTGAAACATGCTCTACATGGGGCTATCCCTGAAGAGTATTTGGAAGAGATAACAGGTATAGAATGTGTTGTTTATCATTATTTTAGGTAGTAAAACCTCATTATTCAGGTTAAATTGCTGTGTTGCCCTTTGCAATAAATAAGTGGGTTCTGGGTTGCAATTTGGGCATTCGGTCTCTAAAAGGTTCACCATCACTGGTATAGGGTTCCTGCCTGAGTGGGGGTGTCACAAGTAAATGCCTTATTCTCTAATGTGTAAATAGTATATGAACGGGATGTCAGGGGTTAATTTATTCTTCACTTCTTAATGTATTCATACTTCACCACTCCCATATCTAGCTCCACCCATTGTATATATAAGGAGCTACACACACTCTCTTCCTTCCTTCTATCTGTGAATATTCAGTGAATATAGAATGCCTTATGTAAATAAAAGAAAATATATTTGAACTCTTAATTCTCTCATAACTTATTGAGTCTGATCCTGAAAATATTGCAACAGGGGGGTTGGACTAAAAGACCTCCAAGGTCCCTTCCAACTCTGTCAACCCTACTCCTTCTTTTCACTACGTCAGACATACCTAATTCCCTCTATGTTTTATCCTCTATCCCGATCATCCTAGTTCTCTTTTCTGCATTCTTTCCAGAGTCTCAAGATCTTTTTTTTTTATCCTGGTGACCAAAATGGGATGCAATATTCCAAGTGTGGTCTTACCAAGGTATTATTAAGGGGTACTAATGCTTCACATAATCTTATTTGTACCCTATTACTATCATTAAGTGTTGTACCTATGATTCAAATGTATCTTCTCTTTTTATGTACGCTGAGAGCATATGCACCAAAGACAAATTCCTTGTGTATCCAATCACACTTGGCCAATAAAGAATTCTATTCTATTCTATTCTATTCTATTCTATTCTATTCTATTCTATTCTATTCTATTCTATTCTCTGATAAGGAAGATACTGGGCTCTTACTTGACTTCTAATTGTGATGCACTACTGGATTACCATGCCTTGTGACTGTAGAATCACTAAAATCATGTGAAATGGTGAGCACAGTGCGAAGGCCATGGTGCCACAGTGGTTAGAGTGCGGTATTGCAGGCTACTTCTACTGACTGCCAGCGGTCTGGAATTTGGCAGTTCGAATCTCACCAGGCTCAAGGTTGACTCAGCCTCCCATCCTTCTGAGATAGGTAAAATGAGGACCTGGATTGTTGGGGAAAATATACTGACTCTGTAAATTGCTTAGAGAGGGCTATAAAGCAGTACATAAGTGCTATTGCTATTGCTAAAGCATTTCAAATTGAAAAGTTACTTCTAGAAAATCATTCTGGGTCTTTTCCCTAAAACATTGTAAACATTTTTACTTATGGGCAAGGCTATGAAGGTATCTGTCCTTTTCCAATATTTTCAGGGATTGAGTATGAATTAATCAAAATCCCTACCCTATTAATAATCCTTCATCCTTCATAATGGAACTTCTTTAGAAAGAGGAGAACAGGGGAACATGAGAGGCTAACAAACAGGAGCCATTGATTTCTGTTTTCCCCCATCTTCCACGTCTAACAAAGGCAGAGGTACAATATAGTTCTCATTTAAGAGCAAGGGATATATTCACAATGGGAGCTGAATAAACAAGAAGAAAAATCCAAGTTGAAGGAACACGTTATCAGTAGCTCTGCCTGTTTATTTACAGCAAGGAATATAGTAATTTCTTGCCTGTTCAATTTATTGAACCACAATAAATCCATACCTTCTCCATCTGAAGAAGATAGTAATCAATGAAATCTTGTGGCTCGTGCAGACAGTGAGATTCCTTGTGTTTCTCTATTTCCTGCTTTGCAAACGCAAGCATAATATCCAGAGAAGCCAGGGCTTTCTTGTGAGGGCCTGGGAGGTACTTCATTAATTGTGGGAACAAATTATACACCTAACAGAAAGAGAAGAGGAAAAGTTATTTATTCCCTGCCATAAGTAAAGCAGAGAAGGGTCAAACACTTCATAAGTCTTGAGTCACTATGTGCCCATAAGAGAATGTCTTGAATGCCTTTCGTTACTCCCACAAATTTCCCTAGACCGTTAGCTCAGATTCTTGCAGAGAGCTTAAGCTTGCAATAAATCTTTACACTCATTTGAACTGCCTGTATCTCCTGATTTCCTTGGTGTTGACAGGAGGGTAGGGATGACTTATGGTCTCAAGCTGTGGGAAGCTTGAGAGGGATATTCCAAGCCATTTCAATAAACTTAGAGAGAGCTTGGGAAGGGTTCCATGGATGAGAATCCTCAAGGGGAAAACAAGTTAAGAAGCTTGGGAAATTTTGAAAAGTGTGATTATAAAAGACCAGTCTAGCACAATACCAATGAAGAAGAAAAATAATAGATCTCAAAAGAAACCAGCATGGCTGCATAAAGAACTCTCTGACAAATTGAAAGATAAAAAGGACAAGTATAAAAAGTGGAAAGAGGGGCACATAATTAAGGCAGAATATCAGCAAATAGCCCAAGCCTGCAAAGATGAAGTGAGGAAAGCTAAGGCTCACAACGAACAAAAGCTTGCAACAAAAGTAAAAAATAACAACAAAAAAAGCTTCCAACATGTTAAAAACAAGAAAAAAGTCAAGGAAACAATTGGTCCGCTAGTGGAAGACAGTGGTAAGAAGGTGACAAGCAACAGGGAGAAAGCAGAACTACTTAATTCATTTTTTGCATCTGTCTTTACACAAAGGGGAAAAACAGTCCAACCTATCTTCAAAAAAAGGGGGGGAAATAGATCCAGGAAACTACAAACCTATCAGCCTGACCTCAATAACAGGGAAGATTCTGGAAAAGATAATCAAGCAATGAATCAGCAAACACCTAGAAGCAAACAAGTAATAACCAAAAGCCAACATGGGTTTGTCAAAAACAGATCATGATAGACTAACTTTATTGCTTTCTTTGACAAAGTGAAAAAATTAGTGGACCAGAGGAATGCTGTCAATATAATTTACTTGGACTTCAGTAAGGCATTTGATAAAGTAGACCATAACCTACTACTAGATAAAATAGAAAAATGTGGGTTAGACAGCATCACCACTAGATGGCTTCATAACTGGCTGACCAACCGCATCTACATGGAGGGAAGTATGCAGTGGGGCACCCCAAGGCTCTGTTTTAGGCCTAGTACTCTTCAACATCTTCATCAATGCCTTGGACGAGGGATAGATGGAGAATTCATCAAATTTGCAGATGACACCAAGCTGGCAGGAATAGTCAACACTCCAGAAGATAGGCTCAAGATACAGAAGGATCTTGACAGACTTGAGCATTGGGCGCTATCTAACGAAATGAAATTCAATGGTGAAAAAAGCAAGGTTCTACATTTAGGCAAAAGTAGTAACTGTGAGAGGGATCTTGGAGTTCTAGTGGATGACCATTTAAATATGAGCCAGCAATGTGCTACAGCTGCCAAAAAAGCCAACACAGTTCTAGGCTGCATAAACAGAGGGATAGAATCAAGATCATATAAAGTGTTAATACCACTTTATCATGCCTTGGTAAGGCCATACTTGGAATACCACATCCAGTTTTGATCGCCACAATGTAAAAAAGATGTGGAGACTCTAGACAGAGTGAAGAGAAGAGCAACAAAGATGATTAGGGGACTGGAGGCTAAAACATATGAAGAACAGTTGCAGGAACTGGGTATGTCTAGTTTAGTGAAAAGAAGGACTAGGGGAGACATGATAGCAGTGTTCAAATATCTCAGGGCTGCTACAAAGAAGAGGGAGTCAAGCTGTTCTCCAAAGCCCCTGATGGCAGGACAAGAAGCAATGGATGGAAACTAATCAAGGAGAGAAGCAACCTAGAACTAAAGAGAAACTTCCTGACAGTTAGAACAATTAATCAGTGAAACAACTTGCTTCCAGAAGTTGTGAATGCTCCAACACTGAAAGTTTTTAAGAAGAAACAAATGGTTTTTAACCAGTTGTCTGAAGTGGTGTAGGGTTAAAGTGGTGTAAACAGGAGGTTGGACTAGAAGACCTCCAAGGTCCCTTCCAACTCTGTTGTTCTGTACTGTACTGTACTGTACTGTACTGTACTGTACTGTACTGTTCTATTAAATGGACTGAAATAGTCAAGTTATAGATTCATGGGGGGAAAGGACTGTTTAATACTATTCCAAGAGACTGAATTGGAAAATAGTCCCAATGCAGACCCACAGAGAGTTGTGTGAATGGAAAGGAAATCTCTCTCTCTTCCTCTCTCTCTCCCTCTCTCTCTCTCTCTCTCTCTCTCTCTCTTTCTCTCTCTCTCTCTCCCTCCCTCCCCCCTCCTCTCATAAGGTTCTTGGAATGAAAAACTTAAGAGGAACAATTGGAAGCAGTAGGTATATCCAGCCAAGAGAAAAGAGAGAAAGAAGACCGTCAGGGCATAAATACACACCTTATGTATTTGGAGGAATGCCACACTACAGTAGAAGAGAGGCAGGATAGTTCAGAATTATTCCAGAAGACTTGACAGAAACAACAGGCTTAAATAATAAGAAAGTAGATGTTCAGTGTGTCTCCGGAAAAAAATAGCAAGAACCGTTCAATGATGGATTGACCCAGGAAGTGGTGGACTATCCTTTGCTAGAGGTGTTTAGACCTGGGATGGACGACCATCTGCTCCTGATACTGAAATGATGGATTCCTCCACGGGGAGAACCACTTTGGTGTAGTGGTAAAGACACCAGCCTAGAAATGGGGAGGTAGTACGTTCTAGTCCTAATCAGGTACTAAGTCAACTGGGTGACCTTGAGTCAATCTTTAGAAAGTGGACAATGCTAAACCACTTCCAAAATCTGGACAAGAAATCTGCAAAAACTTGTCCAGGTTCTTGCCAGGAGTCACTCTCACTGAAGGAACACACACAAACACACACTGGGAAGAAGAGTAGATGGGAGGATTTCCAAAACTTCCTGCATGATGTCTATTGTAGGATTCCATGAAAATACTGGTGGAAACATAGTTTGCTGAGGGAGGGGGGGGAGGTGTTTGCTTCCTTAGTAAAAAAAAAAAAATGACTCACCGCTTGAAAAGTGTCACCAAGGAATTTCAAAATAATTTGAAGAGCTTGAACCAGCTTCTGGAACTCTTCAGCTTCTGCAGAAAACTGATGTCCGAAACTCAAAGCACATATGATGTTAGAAACCGCATTTAGTAGTGAAAATGAAGGGTCAAATGGTTGCCCTGCAAAGTAAGATATTTCACAATGAACCCAGCCTCCTCTGTTAATCTGTTTATACTAGAATCAGAATCATATGGCTGGAAGATATTTCAGAGGTCTTCCAGTCCAATCCCCTTCTCAAGGCAGGAGTTTTATACCATCCCAGCCAAATGGTTATTCAGTCTATTTCAAAAACTTCCAGTGATAATGCACCCACAACCATGGAGGCAACACTGGAAGTTTTTAAGAAGAGATTGGACAACTGTTTCTCTGAAATGGTATACGGTTTCCTCCTGAGCAGGGGGTTGGACTAGAAGACCTCCAAAGTTCCTTCCAATTCTTCTGTTCTGTTCTAGTTCTAGTTCTAGTTCTAGTTCTAGTTCTAGTTCTAGTTCTAGTTCTTGTTGTTTTGACTCTATCCTTCTGTTGATGCAGCCTAGGAGTGTATTGGCCTTTTTGGCAGCTGCAGCACACTGCTGGCTCATATGTAAGATTTTAGGACAGCTAAATCTACACCTAGATACTAAAGATCAGGACTTCTAAGGTGATGTAATGGAATGTGAGAATGGCCTTGGAAAACAGGTGGGTGAAGAGATGCTGCATAGGAAATGATTATAGAAAAGGGGGAGGAGCCCAAACTGAGTAATGAGTAATGAGAAGAAAATGAAACTTCTAAAGGATTTTATCTAACTTATCAGAAACTGCAGCAGATTTGTACTTTCAAACTTGCACGACTCTGTTAATGTAGCCTTACAATAAAGTAGAAGTAGTTCATCTTGTCATATCCCTTATCTCATCAATTTGGGAGATTGAAAGCTGGTGAAGGAAGAGAAATGAGAACTGTCCATTTAAAAAAACAAACAAAAAAACCCCAAATCAATACATCTATTTTTGTTGGAATACATGTTAGAATGTATTTTGTATTGCAACAACTACAGAATTATTTAGCTAGTAGATGGCAGTGTTTAGTGTGCATCTATGCTTATAATCTATGATTTCTTAAATGTTCTGAGGAGAGTTTCCTGTTTCCTGTTACAGTAATATAGTATTTTTTTTAATTTTATTTCTTAAAAAAAATACAAACAGAAAGTTTATCAACAAATAGATTGCGGTGAGAACCTTACACAATACATTACATTCAGTCCAAATATACAAATAAGAAATAAAAACTAAACTAACATTGTCCTCTTTTTATTCTATTATTTAACCAAATATACCATAGGTCCCAGCATTGGAAATATGTGGAGTTTTTTTGATCTCTTAAAATTTTTGTTCGCCTATCAGCTTCTGCACATTCCATAATTTTCCCTAAAATCATATCTTCAGACGGTAGGTCTTTACCCTTCCAATTTTGGGCAAGACATATTCTTGCTGCAGTTGTAATATAGACAATCAGATATCATTTGTTAGTGCCTATTTTATCTGGCCTAATGTTTAATAAGTAAAATTCAGGTTTCAGTTGTAGTTTGTATCCAGTAATTTCTAACAACCACCTCTGAATAAGTTTCCAAAATTCAATTACCCTGGGACAGGTCCACCATATATGGAAATAGGTACCTAGCTCCCCACACTGTATTTTGTATTGCAACAACTACAGAATTATTTAGCCAGTAGATGGCAGTGTTTAGTGTGCATCTATGTTTATAATCTATGGTTTCTTATATGTTCTGAGGAGAGTTTCCTGTTTACTGTTACAGTAATATAGTTGAGCAGTAAAGCACATGGTGACTGTACTCCTTGTTTTCTCTATGTGGTACTTTATATAAATAGAATTTCTAACAATTTTTATTTAAAATACTCAAAATGGAAAAGATTTTGGCAGATGGGGATTTGAATCATTACCCCAAATGACATACCTTTTGTTTGTCTAAAGATCTCCACCAATGTCTGAGCTGCGTCTTCTATCTGATGCTCAATGCTTTTCTTCCCCAGGCCCAGCTTCCGCAGAGAAGTGATGCCAATGTGTCGCTGCTGCTTCCAGGTGTGGCCATTGGAGAAAATGATTCCTGAGGGCATCAGCAGACAATGATAAATGATTCCTGATTACCTTTGTGTTAAAAAAACAGGTCTAATTCTTGCCAAACATCTGTCTAAATTTCAGGTGGGAATACCAAACCTTTGTGACATGTTGCCATTTTTGCAAAATTCTGGACATGTTATTTTTTCTTTACAAAATATTTATTCATTTTGGAATCCACATGGACACTGGGAGACATACGTGCCGTGGTAACCACAGGTGCAGTGCTTGCCAACCTCTATCATATATGATGGACAACAAAACCTTCTAAGATGGTGTAATTGTTCATGTACAAGAACAATTATGTTATAGCAATGATGGACAGGATCTTATCAGTGGTGGCACAATCCATCTGCACCTTCCTCCCACAACACTGAAACCAACCAGCAAAATGGGCAAATTCAAATTTTTTATTCATCAAATTTAATCAAGTTTCTATTGCATTTATGTGCCAAAGATTGACTAAAATATTTTAAATTGCTTTTATGGGGCGGAGTTTCAGGGGGAAATTACCAGGGGGAAGCTCATGGTTGCCATAGGGTTTATAATTCCTAAGCAACCTAATCCTTACATTCCCCAGTAAAATGTACTCAAATGGTTTGTTCATCTTTCATGATATTTTTTCAGATTAACAGAGTTGGAAGGGACCTTGTAGGTCATCTAGTCCAACCCCCTGCTCAAGCAGGAAACCCTATACCATTTCTGACAAATGGCAGTCCAGTCTCTTCTTGAAAGCCTCCCATGATGAAGCTCCCACAACATCTGAAGGCAACTTCTGTTCCATGGGTTGATTGTTCTCACTGTCAGAAAATTATGTAAGAAATGGTTTGCTATCAGTGTGGGAGAGAGTGAAAGAAAAACATTATTTGAATATTCCAATGTGGCTTTCTACAATAGAAGCGGTGACGTACCCAAATATTGTGAACATGGGGAATATTGTTAGATATAAAGAAAGATTAGCTAAGATGTTTAAAGATAAATCAGCTAAGTGTTGGAAATGTCATCAGTTACGGGATCATACTATCATATGTGGTGGTTGTGTAAAGAAGCAAAACAATATTGGGTGAAAATACAAACATGGTTAGAGGGAATGTTGCAGCAACATATAGAGTTAAAACCAGAGATATTCTTATTGGGAATTTTACCAGAGAATTATAGCAAAGAAGATACATATTTGATTATTCATATAATAACAGCGGCTAGAATTGTATTTGCACAAAACTGGAAAGCAGATAAAATTCCATTGGAAGGGGATATTATAAAGAAAATTTTAGAATGTGCAGAAATGAATAGATCAATATTGAGAATAAAAGATAAAGAGGAGTCGATGTATTTCAAGACATGGGATAAATTTTATGATTGGTTAGAAAAGAAATATGAATAAGGACATAGAGATAAAACAGATAGCGAATAGATGGGAGAAAACAATTAGAAAAATAGATACCCAGATGATGCCAAGTAAAAGGAGAAAGGAGAGGGGGGTGTAAAAGGGAAAAAAGTGATATATTATAAAAATGTACGCAAATGATGAAATAAAAATAAATAATAATTGAATAAGAAATTGAAATGAGAATAAAGATAATTAGGAAATTGGGACTGCCAGAATACCATTTTAGATTGAACTGAAAAGGGAAACAACAGGAGAGAAGGGAAGGAGTAGAAAGAGAGGAAGGGAAAAGAGAGGAGAGGAGAGAAGGGGAGAAAGAAGAAAGGGAAAAGAAGAGGAAGAAGAGGGGGGAAAGAGGAGTAGAGGAGAAGGTTAGAAGGGGGAAGAAGAGAGGAGTGGGGGAAGAGAAGGGGAAGTTGGAAAGAGAAGGAGAGGAAGAACGAAGGAAGTAGGAGGAGAAAGAGGAAGGAAGAGAAGGGGAGGAGAAGAAGAAAGGTTGGAGTCAAGGTAAAGGGTAAAAGAGCAGCCTCGAAAAAGTAAAAATTAAAAATGTAAGTTAAAAGAAAAGATGAATGAAAAATGATGGAAATGACTATACATGTAAACGTGTTTATGAAAAATAAAAATAAAAAACGTTTTAAAAAATGAAAAGAAAATTTCTCCTTATTTCTAGGTTGAATCTCTCCTTGATCAGTTTCCATCCATTATTCCTTCTCTGGCCTTCAGATGCTTTGAAAATACCTTAACCCCTTCCTCTCTGTGGCAGCCCCTCAAATATTGGAAGACTGCTATCCTGTCTCCCCTGGTCCTTCTCTTCACTAGACTAGCCATGCCCAGCTCCTGTAACCGTTCTTCATATGTTTTAGCCTTCAGTGCCCTAATCATCTTGGTTGCTCTTTTCTGCCCTTTTTCTACAGTCTTAACATCTTTTTATAGTGTGGAGACCAAAACTGGATGCACTATTCTAGGTGTAGTCTTACTAAGGCTTTATAGAGTGGTATTATATCATATCTGGATGACATCTTTTTCCAGATGGACCTAATATCTGCCAGCAATTATTGTTGCCAGCAGCCTGAGACCAAGGCTACTAGCAATCCAACTTCTATGACCCAAGAAATACTTATCACCAACTGCTGGTAAATTATTGTGGCCTGGCCAGCTCTAATCATCATTTGATTGCCATAGAAACCTGACCCATACTTCATAACTCCCAAACTATTTTACCGGTTTTGTCCCACTCATTTCATTCTATCTTACATACATCTCATCTCACCTCACCTCACCAATTTCAATCCAATATTAGGCTAAAATCAAAATAATGTTGCTGTGTTCCAACTAAATAGCAGATTATAAGAATGATCAATAGCCACAGTCCCATAAAAATGGAAGCTGGAAAATATATTTTTTATGGAAGGTGGAAAGAAATGGGCTGAAAGCATAAGCAATCCTCTCCTGAAGTTTCATTGGGAAATTTGGAGTAAATATAAACGCAGGTTGCTTCCGAAGAACTCTCCATTATCACCGGTAGTAATCTTGGAAAAGTTCCCAGGGAATTTGAAGAATAAAGTGAATAAAATTTTAAAAGAGAAAAATAAAATGAAATTAAGGGAATGGTTAGGAGGAATGAGGACATGTGGGGAATTGGAAGAGGTTCTAGGAGGAAAATGGTTGTCTTGGTTAAATTACTGCCAAGTGGAACAATGGACTAAAAATTGGATAAGAGAAAATGGAGAGTGTAGAGAGTTAATGAGGTTTGAGGAATTAATTGAAAAAAATGAAACTGTAAAGGAAGAAAATAAAGGGATAAAAGGCTTAATGAGTGGAATTTATAAAATATTGTTGGAGGAAGAGGAGAGGGAAAATTTAGGAAAGATGGTATGGGAAACCAATTTGAAGATACAAATAGGGCAACAGAGTTGGGACAGAATTTGGCAACAAAGAGTGTTGAGAAATATGTCAGTAAGAATAAAACAGAATTATTACAAAATGGTATGGAGGTGGTACTTAACTCCGGTTAGATTAAGCAATATGAATCAGCACTATTCAGATAACTGTTGGAGAGGTTGTGGGGAAAAAGGAACGTATTTACATATGTGGTGGGATTGTAAATTTGTGCAAAAACTGTGGAAGATGGTGTTTAAGGAGATTGAAGAAATTGTAGGAATAAAAGTAGAAGAGGCACCAAAGGTAGCATTACTCTCACTATTGGAAGATATAAAGTGTAAAAAAGAGACTAAAGAGTTGATAACAAATTTGTTGACCGCAGCAAGGTTAATGATTTCTAGGAACTGGAAGACACGAGGTGATTATTGTTTGGAAGAATGGTATAAGGAAGTATGGGATATTGCCATAAATGATAAATTGACTTGTAATATTAAAGTAAGGAGGGGCATAATGAAAGTAAATGAATTCAATGGAATCTGGAAACAGTTCCTAATATATGTGTTTTCTGGAGGAAGGGGGATACCACCACCAGAAGAAGCTTTAAGATTTTGGAAGCAGGAATGATCCCGAGGGGTGGGGAAGCACTCATTGATTGTTTGTATTCTGTATATTGTTACATATTATATATTATGATTCATGTATGTTATGTATGTTAATTTTTTTTAATAATAAAAAAATATGAAAAAAAAAGAATGATCAATAGCCACAGTCCCATAAAAAGAACTTTTTCTTGTAAAAGTATAGAAACTGGAAATTCAAATTTTGTAGAGAAATACTAATTTTGATTGTCAGTGCTAGTTATATGTGGTGGAATAAGAAATAAGTGTTTTTAAAATATCGGGGATTATGTATTTTAATAAATCCAATTGATTATTATGATCTTATTATGTATGTAATAGATATAGTAGTACATATTTGTTTGAAGTATCCAATGGAACAAAAATAAATATTTTCCATTCCGCATCAGAGCTCATCTCAAATTATTTAATGGATAGGTGACCGATTAATTGAATTAAATATATATGTTTGTTTGGCCAGTCAATATGAAACTGAAGCATTTAGGTGCATTGGTTAAAGGGAGAAAATGAGTAACAATCAAATTTGCAAAAACAGAAATATGAAAGGAAAGAAAAGAGATCCAGAGGAAGGGGGAGATGGAGATGGATGAAGTTGATGAGTTCCTCCCAAAAAAAGGAGAGAGAGATGGAAGTTTAATGAAAAAGGCAATGTCTAAATCAATATATGAATGTAACAGTCCAGATAGAAAGCTATGGATGTATATAATATTTTGGAATAAAGTGGATTAAGCAATCTTTCTTTTGCTGTTCTCGTTCTTGTAAATTGTTTTGTTTACTGCATCTTACTCTTTTTTCCCTGTGTGCTATGCATCATATTACCACAAATTGGAAGAGTTTGATGGCTATTAAGGTAGAATTGCTTACAATTTGCACTTACCCCTTCCTTTCCCTAAATCATTCAAGAAAGCATCTTCTGCTCGATACGAGAATTCTTCTGGGAAGCTGGTCATTCCTTCTTTCACAGCTTTGAATCCAGAGAGAACTATCATAAGTTGTCGCCCATACCACAAGGAGTAAATATTTCCATATCGTTTTACAGGCTGTCGAGTCAATCAAAGATGAGACATGTTACAATCAAATATGTGGATTATTCCCATTTAACACTGTATGCCATCCACAGGTGTTCCTAAATCATGAATTCTAAGATTTTTCACTATATGCAATTCTCCCTCTTTAGAATTCTTTTTTCCCCCTCTCCAAGATTCTTGCCAAGAATGTCTTTCTGATTTTAAAAATTATTTTCCTAAGAACGGACATCCTTTTATTTATTTTTGTTTTGTCTATTTTAATCACTTATTAAATTTCTACACCACCATCTTCTCACTGAAGAATTGGTTCCATGATCAAACATTTATTGGTAAGATTGAACTAGAATATGACTCCTAAAAATTCAGCCCCATTATTTTACATTTGCTCCCTCTGAAGCATACTATAAACAAGTCATACCTAAATACTGTGGCATGATGAATTATACCATAATTTTGGTATATAAAAAAACAATTGAGAATTATCATGATTACTACTGGTTAGAATTAAATACCTTACGGAAGTATTCTTCATGGAGCCAAAGCCCACCTGCCAATAAGGTCCCAAGGAATGGTAGAGCCAAAGGTCCAGGAGGCAAATGTCTTTGGGTCCAAAGTTGTTTCAGGAAGAAGAAAGTCAACAGAGCAAGCAGCAAAAAAATCAAAATTGTTCCTATCACCATCATTGTTCTGCTAGTTCTTTTTCTTTGATGCTCACTAGTAGATTTGGAGACGGTTGTATCCTTTTGTCCGATGCTTTTTGCTCTTCCTCCTGTTTTATGTATTCATTGATGGAAATGAATAGCAAGTCATCTTTTGATTATGTTTGATTGCCATTTTGTCAACAAGTTATATTAATCCACATGAATGAGGTTCCCTCTAACCCTGCGTCACTCAAATAATAAAGAGATGTCTTCTAAAAAAAAAGAACTAGGACTGTATAATCCAATAGGTTCCTAAAATGATACTATGTCAGCATTATTTGGAAATCATGATGAAAATCATGGTGTTTCACACATCCATGAAATATACAGAAAAAACCTGTTGTGCCACAGAGATGTTATCTAGTCCAGGATTATGTCTCATACTTAGCCTTGCAAGGCCAGTACCACAACATTATCATGATATTTAAAAAAAAACTCACTCAACTTTGCTTACAAATAAGGGAACATCTTCATGAAGGCCTCCTACTGTTGAGCCCCATCTCTGGTGCTATGCAGCCATTTGCCACTAAAACAAGTGTAACCACTATGCTAATCACGAAGGGCTGTTGTAATAGATTCTGCAGTAGCTGTTACTGATTGTCCTGAACCCAAGCAGTAAATTATAGGTAGAGAGCTGTGTGTGTTTAGAAATACCTATTTAAAAACGATGTCAACAATCCAGCTGCCTAACCCTTGACTACATCTGGAAATGAAATGAGTAGCGCCTAGCCATCCTTTGTGATATTGTGCTTTGCCTTATGGCCCAATATTTTTATTATTCTTTTATTCCTTATCACCAAACTACTGATTGCCTTGATATGTCTCATTCTGAGCACAGCCTGAAAGCTGTATCTTTTAAAGACATTTTTAAGCTCACATCTGCCCTTATTTCTGGCCTCCAGATGTTTTTGTTTGTTCCTTGGGTGTACTGCCGAACTCTAAGAATGACTCAGGTTTCACTTGGTTCCCAGAGTCATTCCACAATTACCCCTTCATAGGACTTCCTTTATGCTAATTGGGTGCCAGGCCCATGCCTCCATGGATAAGAATCTGCTTTTGTTCTCACCCCACCCCATGTCTTTGATTTTTTTTTTAAGTCTTCTTCTGCTACTTAAATAGCACATGATTGGAAGTATGAGAATGAATGTGGCAATCTCTTGTTGACAAAATACCAACGCTACTTACACAGATCATCAAAAGACATGCTGAGTTGTATTATCAGGTTGCGGTACTTACATGGGTGAAACAGCGAATAAATTTTGACGCATAGATGATTATTAACACTAGATGGACATGCTCTTCAACTGGGGTGGCACGCCTTTTTATGGTATGGGAAAAACAAAATACATGGATATTTTCAAAGACGTTATGTTAGAAATGCATTATTGTTAATGTGGGCAAAAATTAAAGAAAAACATTATTTGAAAATACCAGTCTGGCTCTCCATGATGGAGGCACTGATACATCCGAATGTTGTTAACACGGAAAACATTACATGATATAAGGATATTTTGAATGAAAAAGGGGAAGTTAAAACTAAGCAAGAACTGACTAGTCAAGGATCAATTTAATCCTTGTCTGGCCTTTGGGTGCCTTGGAAAAATAGCTTGACCCCTTCCTGTCTGTGGCAGCCCCTCAAATATTGGAACACTGCTATCCTGTCTCCCCTGGTCCTTCTCTTTACTAGACTAGCCATTCCCAGTTCTATTCTGTCCCCTCCCACGAGTGGCTTTGCAGAAGCTCAAATAGCCCTGCAGTAACACACACAGGCTAGAAAGATTGAAGCTGGCCCTTTAATAAACAGTTCAGAAGTTATTGGCAATGTTCCAAAGGTATAGCAGTGCAGTAATTACCGGGCAATGTTCCAGAGGTCTTGGCAGACGGCCAGCAGGTTAATGCAGACTCCTTTTCAAAACTAACTCAAAACTAACTGTGCTAAACTCCAAAACGCCAACAAATTGTTCACCGTGCCTTTCCGGCCCAGCTACATCCCTTTTATACTTTGTAGGGTGTGGCCCTACGTCTCCTGACCACACCTCTTGGAACGTGGCAATAGCTGTTCTCTACGACATCTCTTACGTCTCTCTCTTGCATCCAATAAGGGCTCCTCTCCTCGTTACCGGCCTCTGTTTCCTCCTCAATGTGGCTGGGGTCCAGAGGCATGTCAGCAACTGTCAGTTCTTGCTGACTCACCAGTGAAGACGGCCCCTCCGGCACATAACTCGTGACAGCTTCCTCCTCCTCCATCTCATCTCCCGACTCAGCTTGCGAAGATAAATCAACCTCCGGGGCCAGAGTCACAACAGGTTCCTGTAACCATTCTTCATATGTTTTAGTCTCCAGTCCCCTAAACATCCTGGTTGCTCTTCTCTGCACTTTTTCTACAGTCTCAACATCTTTTTTATATTGTGGTGACCAAAACTCGATGCAGTATCCTAGGTCTGGTCTTACTAAGGCAGTGATGGCTAACCTTTTTTGTCCCCAACACATGTCACGCCCTCCTGTGCATGTGCCTGCAAACCCCCCCCCCCCCTTCTGCCCTGCCCCGCTGTACAGTTACACGCTCCCACAACCCGCTCCCCCACCCCCTTGCACATGCATGCACAACACACACACACACACCATTTTGTGCCTAGCAAACCTCCCTGAAGACTCCGGAAACCAAAAACGGCCTGTTTCTGTACTTCTGCGAGGCTCGCTTTTTGCCCTCCCTAGGCTCCAGATGCTCCGGAGGCTTTGCTAGAGCCTCTAGGAGGGCAAAAATGGCCTCCCCCGGCCCTCTGGAGGCCCTCTTGAGGTCGGAAATGGGCCATTTCCAAACTTACAGTACTTCCAGGAGGCCCATTTTTTGTCCTGCTGTTTTGGAGCCCCTGGAAGGGCGAAAATCACCTCTCCCAGCCCTCCAGAGTTCCTCCGGAAGCCGGAAACGGCCTGTTTCCTGACTTCTAGTAGGCCTTTTTTTCCACCCTCCCAGAGCCTCCGTGCGAGCCCTGTACTTACCTGGCATCCAAAACGGGCCGTGTGGAGACTCCTGGGAGGGGCAAGACAGCATGGGCATGCATGGGCATCTCCCGCATGTGTGGCAGAGACCCAAAAATCAGCTGGCTAGTGGGAGGCACGCATGCATGCTCAGTGGAGCTGACCTAGGGTGACTATTTGTGTGCCCACAGAAATGGCTCCGCATGCCACCTGTGGCACGTGTGCCATAGGTTCACCATCATGGTACTAAGGCTTTATAGAGTGGTATTAGTATCCCACTTGATTCTGATTGTATCCCTCTGTTAATGCACATTAGGATTGCATTGGCTTTTTTGGCTGGCGCCGCACACTACTGACTCACGTTTAGCTGGTTGACTGCTAAGACTCCATGATCCCTCTCACAGTCACTTCTATTAAGCCTGGTTTCACACAGTCTATATGTGTGCTTTTGGTTTTTCTTGCCTAAGTGTAAGACTTTATTTTTCTCTACATTGAATTTCATTTTGTTAGATAGGGCCCAGGATTCAAATCTGTCAAGATCCATCTGGATCTTGAGCCTATCATCTAAGGTGTTGACTATTCCTGCCAGCTTAGAATCATCCACAAATTTGGTAAGTTTCCCTTTTATTCCCTCATCTAAGTCGTTTATGAAGATATTGAAGAGTACTGGGCCTAAGAAAATATACAAAATATGTTAAGCTAGAGATGTAAACAATATGATGATTGTTATTATTATGACCATTAAGATTATTACACTTAATATTACTATTATATTTTTATTAGAAGATATGTTAAGGGGGAGAAATGAATAGGTTTATTATGCTCAATACTACTATTGTAAGATTATTGTTGTTAGTTGCAAAGTTGTGTCTGACCCATCACAACCCCTTGGACAACATTCCTCCAGGTCTTCCTCTGGAGTCCATTTAAGCTCACACCTACTGCTTCAGTGACTCCATCCAGCCACCTCGTTCTCTGTCGTTCCCTTCTTTTGCACTCAATCTTTCCCAGCATTAGGCTCTTCTCATTAGGTGGCCAAAGTATTTGAGTTTCCTCTTCAGGATCTGGCCTTCTAAAGAGCAGTCAGGGTTGATCTCCTCCAGGATTGACCAGTTTGATCACCTTGCAGTCCAAGGGACTTGCAGGAGTCTTCTCCAGCACCAGAGTTCAAAGGCCTCAATTCTTTGGCGCTCAGCCTTTCTTATGGTCCAACTTTCACAGCCATACATTGCAACTGGGAAAACCATAGCCTTGACTATACACACTTTCGTTGGCAGGGTGATGTCTCTGCTTTTTAGTATGCTGTCTAGATTTGCCATAGCTTTCCTCCCCAGGAGCATATGTCTTTTAATTTCTTGGCTGCAGTCCCTATCTGCGATGATCTTGGAGCCCAGGAAAATAAAATATGTAACTACCTCCATTTCTTCCCCAACTATTTGCCAGGAATTGAGAGGGCCAGATGCCATGATCTTAGTTTTCTTAATATTGAGTTTCAAGCCAACTTTTGCACTCTCCTTCTTCACCCGCATCAAGAGGCTCTTCAGTTCCTCTTCACTTTCTGCCATTAGAGTGGTATCATCTGCATATCTGAGCTTGTTGATATTTCTCCCGGCAATCTTAATTCCAATTTTTGATTCATCTAGACCCGCCTTTCTTATGATGTGCTCTTCATATAAATTAAATAGGCAGGGTGACAGTATACAGCCTTGCTGGACTCCTTTCCCAATTTTGACCCAATCAGTGGTTCCATGTCCAGTTCTCACTGTTGCTTCTTGACCTGCATATAGGTTTCTCAAGAGACAAATAAAATGGTCTGGTACCATCTTAAAAACTTGCCACAATTTGTTGTGATCCACACAATCAAAGGCTTTAGCATAGTCAATGAAGCAGAAGTAGATGTTTTTTGGAACTCCCCAGCTTTCTCCATTACCCAGCATATGTTGGCAATTTGATCTCTAGTTCCTCTGCCTCTTCAAAATCCTCGATTAGAGAATTAATAATAATATTATGAATATTGTTGTAAATTCTGATTGCTATTGCACAGAGATATTTGTACCCAGATGACACACTGTTTAATGGAACATGGAATGTTTATATTAAGAAAAAATAATAAAAAAATTATATATATAAAAAAAGATTAGTGGGCATAAGATGAAACCTTGTGGTACCCCACTGCTTACTTCCCTCCATATCGATGTAGACAATGTACACTGAGAGCATATGAAACCAAAGACAAATTCCTTGTGTGTTCAATCACACTTGGCCAATAAAGAATTCTATTCTATTCTATTCTATTCTATTCTATTCTATTCTATTCTATTCTATTCTATTCTATTCTATTCTATTCTATTCATATTGTTCACACACGAACCACTGGTTGAACTGGTGAAGTATGTCTGTGAACTCAGCAATAGGCTAAAAAAGCTTTAATCTACAATAAATGAAAGAAAAAGAATAAATTAAGTGAAGAGACATATAGGAAACAGTTTTATGCTTTCTATGGTGTTTTTTTAAAGTTTAAGCCTGTGTGGGAATAGCACACAATTTGTAAGGGCGTGGGTGCATTATCATCTTTGCAACAGGTTCTTCGCTGAGTTCTTTCACTCCTTCAGGCAACCGGAAGCTGAAGGCCCTCAACAGGCTGGTCAGAAAGATGAAGACCTCAATTCTTGCCAGCTGCTGTCCCACACAGACACGTAGACCTGTGGATGAGATAAAGCATGCATAAAGGGGGTCATAACGTGTTCTCAAGAGTATAAATGAAATAATAAATGAGTAAGCTGCTTTGGGGCTCAAGGATTTACCCATTCCGAAGGGCAGAAACTCTTCTCGATCAATGAACTTCCCATCCTTATCTAAAAAATGATTTGGATTGAACTTTTCAGGTGTCTCCCATTGTTCAGGATCAAGAAGGACAGAGTGCAGGTCTGGGACAATAATGGTCCCCTGTTTAAAAAAAAGAAATGATTAAACAGAACAGTTTCATAAAGGAAAGAGGCAAAGAAGTTCAAGGTTTTTTGAAGGAGGGGACCAAGAAACATGGCTAATACATGACTACAGTTCTGATCTCAAGTTCACCCCTAAACTCTTATCATCTTCCTAGGATAAAAACAAAATGTTTATGGTTGTAACTTTAAAATCAGAGAAGTGTTTGGATTTAAACCCATAATTCATCCTGTTGTGGCTCTCTGGCAGCCAGCAGAGCTGGCAGCAGAGTCGGACAGTGAGGAGGTTAGGGAGGAACATGGGCCAGTCCTGGAAGTTGGAGAAAGCTCGGACAAGGGCTCTGCATCGGAGGCAGAGAGGGAGCTAGACAGCAGCGAGACAGAGGAATAGCTGGAGCCTGTTCCCAGTGTGCACATGCACAGAGCTTCCAGAAGACAAGAACAACTAATAAAGCAGGGTCAACTTGGGAGTAAAGCCACACCTTGGAGGTGACTGGCCCATCCCACAAAAGAGGAGCAAAAAGGGAGCGGATTTTTGCAGGAAACAATTTGTTCGTTCGGTCGTTTCAAGAGTCGGAAGATCTGTCCATGAATCCCAGAGACTCTGTGCCAAGTTTTGCCTGCACTGCATTTGGAAACTAGTTATCTGGCAACTTTCCACGTGAGATAAGGTCTGTGTTGGTAAATATTCCTCTGGAAGACTGTTTGCCAGGCCTTGCTGACTGTGAATGAAAGGAATTTATAGTCGTGTAAATAAAAGGGGTTTTGCTGGGACCAAAACTCTGCTTCCTGCATTTTAAGGGAGCCTAGGTCAGAGCACATCCCTCAAAAAGTTTTGCTATTCTTGCTTATTCAGTTTTGTGTGACTAATTGGCACTTCCTAAATAGAGACCTTCCAAGTGGCCTATCCTCTTTTTCCTTCCATGTTTATTTATTTATTTATTTATTGGTTCGATTTATATGCCGCCCTTTTCCGGAGACTCAGGGTGACTTACAATGCATTAAGCAATAGCCTTTATACTTTTGTATATAATAATAATAATAATAATAATAATAATAATAATAATAATAATAATAATTCCAGGTAGAGAGCATACCCAATCTGTCCACAGGAAGTCTAACGTCAAATGTACAAGAAAGTACATCAAACATCCACATGGCCTCCAGTTCATCCACTCATCACTTCACCAGCTTCTATTGTACTTTCATGTTGTCATATGATGCTATGGTTCGACGACAATATATTCATGCACCTCCATGCCCACTGATCAATACATGAGGCGTATATCCCTGTCAAGACCGCTGCCTTGTGTTGAAATAGAGAACACCCACTACATTTCCAAGCACAGTTCCCATCTCCACGCGCACTATTATCTACAAAGATAGATGTGTATCCACCTCCTACCCATAAAAGACTCCTAGCAAGCCAATAGAACCCCAATCAAATACCTCCAACATACATCTTCCACGGCGTCAAAAGACAGCTGTAAAAGGTGTAATCGGATGGATCCAGATAACAGCTCAATCCAGGTACTGCCTAAACCTGCGCCACCCCACAAACAGACGTGCGAGGGTTACAAATCTAGAGTACTCTCCTGGTCGCCCTGTACTTGACCGAAAACCATCTCAAAGCCTCGGAGACTCGCCCGCGCCGCCTCACCCACACAACCCACTCCCGCTCGTCCACTGTTCTCTCCTCCAAACCTGTTCGTCAATACTACCATCTTAGAGCATCCAATAACTCCATCCTGCGTTCATCATCCGCACCTACTCAATGATGTATATTCCACTAACCTTCTGAGCGCTCGCACCCGAAAATCAAACTACCCATGATGTATTATATTCTACCACCACACTCCAACATCCCCCACATCCGAGTCGCAAGAGATCTTACTATCTAGTAGGACGTGTCAGATAATCCACACCCCCTCGGTGGTCTTCCAACGTACCTGCCGAATAGTCAGTCCCCAATCTGACTTCTTTGAATCACTGTACGAAATAGTCAGCATGTCCCCAAAAGGCTTCATCACACCTCCCAATGCGCTCTATGTCACTCAAACTCCCGGTGGAAAACTCTTACCTCTGACTCAGTGTGGGACCAGCCCATTAATCCTCGGCTCTCCACAATAACTACCTCGTCAGGTCTGGCTAGAACACACCCCTCCAACTGCGTCTCCAAACAGTCGCCTTCAATGTCAGATCAATTATTCACTACTCCCAAAACACTTCACCCACACATTAGATAAAAGTCCATCAACCTCCACATCCCCCTCCCTCAACTCATACCCCAATAACAAGGTCCATATCCACAACAGACTTGAGTTAAACAGCTCTCAGTGTTCTCAAGACCTACAGATTCCACTGATCGCTAGCTCTCCTCCACCAGCGAGAGCTACCCATACACAACGCGTCACGAACCACAACTAGTGCATATCGCCCATCATAGTATACCTCAACATACTCAGAAGTCTCTGTCACGCGTCAGCATCCATAATCTTTAACTTACAATCCTGAATAAGTCCTGAGCGAGGTTGTAACCAACCAAGAGGGGCCTGAACAGACTTGGCTGACTCCACCACCTTGTGTGTCATGCATAACCGGGCATCCCTCCTTGTCACTGGGTGGTCTACACAGTTGATGCACACCACCCATTAGCCACACCGCGCCACACTCTCCATCAAACATTTGGGCTACCAGGGTCTTCCCGCCTCAGGATAGTCACCTACTGAATAAATCAAATCTACCAGCCCCCCCTTCAAAAGGCATAATAATAATAATAATAATAATAATAATAATAATAATAATAATAATTTTATTTCAATGCGCAACGAAACACCCGGAGGTCGGAGATCTTACGTATTTCCAGGGGCAGTTCATTCCACAGGGCTGGGGCTCCCACAGAGAAGGCCCTCCCCCTGGGTGTCACCAGCCGACATAACTTGGCTGATGGCACCCTGAGGAGACCCTCTCTGTGGGAGCGGACTGGTCGGTGGGAGGCTATTGGTGGCAGAAGATGGTCTCGAAGGTACCTGGGTCCTATGCCATGGAGCGCTTTAAAGGTGGTAACCAACACCCTGAATCACACCCGGAAGACCACTGGGAGCCAGTGCAGCTCGCGCAGGAGGGGTGTCACGCGGGCACAACGAGTTGCGCCCATAACCACCCGCGCGGCCGCATTCTGGACCAGTTGGAGCCTCCGAGTGCTCTTCAAGGGGAGCCCCATGTAGAGAGCATTACAATAGTCCAGCCGGGAGGTGACAAGGGCATGAGTGACTGTGCGCAAGGCATCCCGGTCCAGAAAGGGCTGCAACTGGCGGATCAGGCGAACCTGATAAAAGGCCCCCCTGGCCACGGCCGTCATATGCTCTTCTAAAGACAGCCGTGTGTCCAGGATGACACCCAGATTGCGAGCCCTCTCTGTGGGGGGCAAAGATTCACCCCCAATAGTCAGCGATGGCACCTGCTGACTATATCGGGACGCCGGCAGCCACAGCCACTCGGTCTTGGACGGGTTGAGTCTGAGCCTGTTCCTCCCCATCTAGACCCGCACGGCCTCCAGGCAGCGAGACATCACATCAAGGGCATCGTTGGGGTGGTCTGGGGTGGAGATGTACAGCTGGGTATCATCAGCATACAGATGACACTTCACCCCAAAACCACGGATGATCTCACCCAGCGGCTTCACATAAATGTGAACAGAAGGGGTGAGAGGACCGACCCTTGTGGCACTCCCCATGTGAGACGCCTTGAGGTCGACCTCTGCCCCCCTGCCAACACGAACTGCGAGCGGTCGGAGAGGAAGGAGGAGAACCACCGCAGAACGGTGCCCCCTATTCCTAACCCTCTCAACCGCTGCAGCATGATACCATGGTCGATGGTATCAAAAGCCGCTGAGAGATCTAATAGGAGTAGGACAGAGGAGCAACCCCTGTCCCGAGCCCTCCAGAGATCATCCACCAACACGACCAATGCCGTTTTTGTGCTGTGCCCCTGCCTGAAGCCCGACTGGCACAGGTCTAGATAGATAGCTTCATCCAGGTGCCTGGGCAGTTGTCGTGCCACCACACTCTCAACAACCTTCGCCACAAAACGAAGGTGGAGAACGGACGGTAGTTAGCTAATTCAGCCGGGTCCAGGGAAGGCTTCTTGAGGAGGGGCCTCACTACCACCTCTTTCAAGGTGGCGGGAAAGACACCCTCACTCAGAGAAGCAGTTATAATCCCCTGGAGCCAGCCTCGTGTAACCTCCCGGGAGGCCAGTACCAACCAGGAGGGACACGGGTCCAGTAAACATGTGGCAGCACTAATCCTACCCAGAACCCTGTCCACATCCTCGGGAGCCACAGGATCAAACTCCTCCCAGATAATATTCTCAAGACCTGCCCTTGTCTCCTTCCCTGGACTCATCCAATTGGAGTCCAAGCCATCCCGAATCCGAGCGACTTTATCATGCAGGAATTGCACAAAATCCTCAGCACGCCCCTGCAAGGGATCTTCCCGCACTCCCCCCGAAGAAGGGAGTGGGTCACCCTAAACAGGGCGGCTGGGCGGTTCTCTGCAGATGCGATAAGAGTGGAAAAATGGTTAGATTTCGCCGCTTTTATCGCCACTAGGTAGGTCTTGATATAAGACCTCACCTGTGTCCAGATTGATTAGTCCTCCAAATGCTCTCTAGGAGTTTTTTTCGACGCTTCATCTCTCTCAGCTCCTCGGAGAACCAAGGAGCCAATTGAGATTGGCATCGGGTCAGAGGCCGCAAAGGCACAACAGTTTCATTGGACATGCATTAAGAAATTATTGAGATACCTAAAATACACTAAACACATGAAGTTATTTTTAGGACCAACACATACTGATTATGCAGAATTAAGTTGTTATGCAGATTCTGATTGGGCAAGTGATAAGAAATCACATAAAAGTACTTCAGGTTATATGATGTTCTTAAATGGATGTCCTGTTTATTGGCAAGTACGTAAACAGAATTTTGTTTCTTGTTATTAATTTTGTTTCTTGTTATTATTGTTTCTTGTTATTTGTTTCTTGTTACTAAGCAGGTATATACCTGCTTAGTAGGACTTTTGGCCCCCCCCAAGTGGTGTCTTTTTTATACAAAGTCAGCTTATTGCCCCCACAATCCGGGTCCTCATTTTACCGACCTCGGAAGGATGGAAGGCTGAGTCAACCTTGAACCTGGTGAAATTCAAACTTGCAGTAATTGCAGGCAGCTGGCAGCTAAGTGCTATTTAACAGCACTTTAGTCCACCGCTCCACCAGGCTCCTTATGTTGGGCTACTGCAATGCAGCCTGAACACGTTTCCCACCTTTGGAATGTGATATCCCCTCATCGTCACATCCTTTGTGCTTTGCCTGGGAATCCCGTATAGCAAGATATATTTTACACGCTGCATTTCATGAATCACGGCATTGGTGTAGGGCAGCTTCTTCCGATCCTGGTAGGAAATTGAGCCCGAGGAACCAAACACATCTTCAATCTCTTTCTGGACTTTGTCTAGAAAACAATGATGGAAACAGAAATTTCATGTTCAATATTGTGTTTTTTTATTCCTTTGTTCATTTAGTCATTCATTTCCCAATTTTAATCCTCAGAAGTAGCAATCAATCCTTTATTTGGTCACAGACCAGAGTTAAAAATTAAAACTTTTAAAACAATTAAACAGAACAAGACATAATATTATATTACAACTTACGGTGAGATCATCAACTCAGTGTGCACCAGTGGTGGGTTCCTCCTGGTTCAGTCTGGTTCGGCCGAGCCGGTAGTGGTGATGATATGATGTCACTGAACCGGTTCTCCCCCCTCCCACCCTCCCACCCCCCCACATTATTCTTACCTTTTATTTGGTCCCACCCCCAATCTATTGCTGCCTCCTGAGTCCCAGCTGATGACTAGAGGGAAAAAAACTGTTTAAATTCTTGCCGCAGGGCTTCAAAGGGCCGTCCTACAGCTGATCAGTGTTAAGAGCAAACAAATGAGTCGGGTCGTAAGTGCGAGGACTGGTCGTAAGTGCGAGGACCTTCCAGAAATGACTCTGACCAGCTAGCCATGCCCACCTAGTCACATGACCTCCAAGCCACACCCAGAAAATAAGCCATGCCCACAGAACTGGTAGTAAAAAAATTTAGAACCCACCCCTGGTGTGCACATGTATGACCTCTCCTGCAGTAGCTCCATTGGTTGATGATTTGCTTCCGGGTGCAATTCAAGGTGCTAGTTGTCACCTTCAAAGCCCTTCATGGCTTGGGACCAGGTTATCTGAGGGACCGTCTCTTGCTGGTCAAATCTACCTGATACATCAGAGCGGGGAGGTAGGGAATGTTGTGGGTCCCATCCCTGAGGGAGATACACCTGGTAGGGCCCAGAGGAAGGGTCTTCTCTGTGGTGACGCCCTCTCTCTGGAACATCATTCCCCCAGAGATTAGAACGGCCCCCAGTCTAATTCTCTTATAGAAGGCGCCGAAGATCTGGTTCTGCCAGTGGGCCTGGGGAACCCAGAGCGGGATGGAGCCCATTAATTGGCTCATGTGATCTGCTGTTGCTGGGGGTGGGGTGTGTGTGATTTTATTACATTAATTTATTTGATTTTTTTTATTAGTCTTATAAGTTTTACTGTTTTTAAATGTGGTTTTATATCTTGTAAGCCACTTTGAATTGCCATGGGCGAATAGGCGGCAATAAAAATTCAATAAATAAATAAAAATAAAATCAAAAGGTGGCCTAATTTAACCTTTTTACACAAGAGTTTAGCTACATTCAAAGAAACTGTGTCATCCTGATCCAATACCGTATTTCCCTTAAAATAAGACATGTCTGGATAATAAGCCCATGTTGTGATCCAGGCCCACGTAGTTGATATTAAATGCAAACAGTTCCAAAAAAAACAACAACAGATTTTATTAAAACAGCTGAGAATTAACTCATTCTCAGCATATTCTAATGAAATGAAAGCAAAGTCCTTAAAACACCAGTCTTTAGTTTATCTCTGACCTTGGGATAATTAGGCAAACTGCCAGAAGCTTTTCTTGGCAACAGTTCAGGAACAGAAGAAATAACTACAGTCAAACAAAAAGCAATTCTCTCAATGATTGCTTTCCGGCAGGGCCGTTGCTGGTCTTTTAAGCCTTATGGCTTAAAAAGCATCTCGCTCCTCTGCCTCCCCACCCCTCCCCACCTGCCACTCCCCCTCGCCAGCTGAGATTGGCAAGCATGATTTGGGAAGCTGAACATGCTGCTGCTGCCCAGGAGGAGAAGAACGTCAGAAATGGGCTCTCTTGCAGCGCCTCCTCTCTTTCTTCTCCCGAGTGGCAGCGGTGCGTCCGGCTCACCGAATCTGGCCTGCTAATTTCAGGCAGCAGCGGCTCTGTCCTGATCCTCGCCAGCAATGCTGTGGGCAAGAACCGGTTCTGTTTCATGGCTGCGCAAACAGCCCACACCGGCCACTGCTTGGAGCTCCGGCGCCAGTACCCTTCCCCCAGGTCGACGGGGCTAGGTCTGGCAAGAGTTTGTTTGTGGCCACCACTAAGAGAAGAGGTATGCGAGCTAGGGTTTGCGGGAGCAGCCTCCGCGAGGCCATTCTGGGTGGATGGCAAGTGTGCGTGGGGCATATTCCCCTACCACCCCCCCCTCACCTTGCCTCCTCACCTCACGCTGTTTGCACGGGAAGCAAATTAAAAGCTGCTATGATTGCTGGAGGCAGTGGCCTGAGTGGCACTGGCGAAGCAGCTGGTCGGCACTCTGGCACCAGTTCCCCTGCAGCAGGCCAATGTTTAGGGGCCTCCTGTACCTCAAAAATAATAGGACCCCCCAATAATAAGGCCAAGGCCATATTTCGGGGGTCAAAAGAAAATAAGACCCTGTCTTATTTTGGGGAAAACATGGTAGTAGCACCTGTGCATAACAGAGATGAGCACTTCCCAGAATATATTACCAGGTAAGGAGTTAAAAAAGGAGTGCAGAATCCTTATAGACTGGAGGGAATAATATAACTGTAGTTTCAGTGGCCCATTGTCCACCGGGGCACAATGGCAGCTCATAAAGTGTAAAGATCAAGGTTTCTCCTGTCCAGTCATGTCTGACTCTAGGGGGCAGGCTCATCCCCATTTCTTAGTCAAAGGAGCCAGCCATGTCTGAAGACATTTCACGTAGGAAAATTACTATGTAGATTCAGTTCATCATTCAACAGGCCTTAATATTTCAAATACCTTCAAATAATTCTTCTGTGTTCTAGAACCTGAGACTGACCCTTGTTCCCACAGCCCAGATTTCGCTCACCTTGGATGTCGGGATGATTTGTCAAGAGAAGCAGTGCCCACATCAGAGTAGCCAAGGTTGTGTCTGTTCCAGCAGTAAAGAAATCAAAAATACACTGAGCCAGGTTCTCTTCACTGTAGGTAGAGTCGGGGTCATTCCTGCTCTGATGTTTAAAATGGAAAATGAAAATTATAATTAATTCTATGTACCTTTCCTGTGGTTGTTATTGTTTTTGGGTTTCTGGGGGTTATTCTAGACTCACAACTCCATGGCAGCCATGACTAAGAGAATCTTTGTGCAACTTCTTGTGGTGCCTTTTCCTGGATCATGAGGCCCATACAGTCACTCATGCCCTTGTTATCTCTTGGTTGGATTATTGCAACATGCTCTACATAGGGCTACCCTTGAAGAGTATTTGGAAGCGATAACTGATGTAGAATGCAGTGTGTCAGCCCTGGAAGCCATCTTTTCTTTGCAGCTTCTGGTCTGCCACATTTAGACCCTGGGAAATTGGGAGGAGGGATTACAAGAAGTCGGTGGAGAATTAGCCATAACAACATTCCTTTCTCTGGGAGTCAAGGACATTCGGCCTGCACCTGGATGGGAGTTACTGGGGGATTGTCTCCAGTGGGACGATGAGATGATTGGACCACGTGATGGATTTGTGGGTGCAGGGGATGGATCTCTGACTTTCTTTTGGGTGTGGAAAAGCTGGAACTTTCTGGTTCGGGTTTTCCCAGATGTGTCAATATGACTTCTCTAATAAATTGGAACTTTGAGAAATTGCATAAGCTGCCCAGAATCTCTCTAACAGTGAGATGGGAGACATATAAATTTAATAAATAAATGTTATACTGAAGAGACCATGATAGAAAGTAAAGTTTCAAAAACCTTTAAATAATTCCTCTGTGTTTTAGAATCTGAGACTGGCCCTTGTTCCCACAGCCCAGATTTCTTTTGTTGAAGCTGTTACTTGGAATGCTGACCTTAACCCGAATCTGCCTTCAAAACTCTAACCAGCTTCCCAAGCTCCAGGGTGCTGTCCAGGATCCTGAGCCCCGAGTGCCAACCGGCTACCCAGGTGGCATGAAGACTCAGGGAACATGAAGGAGAAGGCGACGACTGAAGAGGGAGCTACCAGTACCTGTTCAAAGGTCCACATTAAGACCATCTACTCCCCTTCTGAGAGTGTGGTGTGAGCAGAGGAGGCCGCCGAAGCAGAACGCTGCCAACTCAGCAGATCACTCAGCTGGACCCCTCCCAGTGGGAGAAGCTTCTGCCACCGGTGATCCCAGGAGACAGAAGCCGAGCTAGTGCCACCCGAATACAGGATGGGAACCAGCCCAATGAATCCAGTCCAGACCCCTGAGTTGAGAGAGCTAAGAATCACTGGGATCTGAGAACTCCCGGAAGTGGGTCCTGCCACCGCCATCACGGAGTAAAATATGAAGCAGCATTGAATATAAAGGTGGAAAATACATCTTAATATATTTAAGAATGAGGAACAGTATTAAGAAAACTGTGTATCATGAGTGTGATGCCCAGACAAATGGTAAACTCAAGACTGATGGTATCAAAGAGCCTTGATAGTACAGTGGTTTAGTGCACCCTGTCATTAACACAGCTGCCTGCAATTTCTGCTGGTTCGAATCTCGCCAAGGCTCAAGGTTGACTCAGCCTTCCATCCTTTCTAAGGTAGGTGAAATGAGGACCCAGTTTGTGGGGGCAATAAGCTGACTTTGTATAAAATATACAAAAGAATGAAGGCTATTGCTTAATGCATTGTAGGCCGCCCTGAGTCTCCGGAGAAGGGCGGCATATAAATCAAATTAAAAAAAAAAAAAAGTAAATAAAGTGACCCAGTTCAGATAATGGGCTCTTACTTCTGATTGTGATGCACTACCGAATTACCATGCCTTGTGACTGTAGAGAAACTAAGATTGTGTGAAATGGTGAACATGGTGCTAAGGCAATTCAAATCAATAAGTTACTTCTAAAAAACTAATAATCCCTTGCCCGTGTATTTGAACCACAATAAACCCAAACCTTCTCCATCTGAAGAAGATAGTAATCAATGAAATCTTGTGGCTCGTGCAGACAGTGAGATTCCTTGTGTTTCTCTATTTCCTGCTTTGCAAACGCAAGCATAATATCCATAGAAGCCAGGGCTTTCTTGTGAGGGCCTGGGAGGTACTTCATTAATTGTGGGAACAAATCATACACCTAACAGAAAGAGAAGAGGAAAGGTTATTGATTTCCCACCACAAGTGAAGCAGGGAAGGGTCAAACACATCATAAGTCATGAGTCTCTGTGTGTCCACCATAGTATCCAATGAGAACTTGTCACTTGCTCTACTTCAGGTTATGATGAGATGTTTGTTTATTTATTTATTTATTTATTTATTTATTTATTTATTTATTTATTTAACCCTGCACCTGTTAACAGTGGTGTCCCCCAAGGCAGCCTTTTAGGACCCACACTCTTTATACTGTATATAAAGGACCTTTGTGATCATATTATAAGCAACTGCGTTCTTTTTGCAGATGATGTAAAACTATTCAACACCACTGACAATGCTGCTACTCTACAAAAAGACCTTGACTATGTGTCAGAATGGTCAAACAATTGGCAACTCCAAATCTCAACCAACAAATGCTCTGTCTTTCACATTGGCAAAAAAAATCAGAACACAAAATACAAGCTGGACCAATACGACCTAACAGATGACCCTCACTCTGTCAACCACCGATCAGGTGGTTCTGCCCCAGGCGCCTGATGGATCCTGACAGGCTCCGAATGGAGCTTGGGCCATTTCCTGAGACTCTGGCGCGTGACTCGACGGAAGACCTGGTGGCCGCCTGGGATAGGGCGGCCGCTGGTGCTTTAGATCGGGTCGTGCCTTTGCGGCCTCTGACCCGGCGCCGAATCTGCCCAGCTCCTTGGTTCTCCGAGGATCTGAGGGGGATGAAATGCCAGAAAAGATGCCTAGAGAGTAGTTGGAGGGCCAGTCGCTCCGAATCTGACCGTACACTAGTGAGGTCTTATATCAAGACCTACTTAGTGGCGATAAAGGCGGCGAAGTGTAATTACTTTTCCGCTCTTATCGCGTCGGCAGAAAATCACCCAGCTGCCTTGTTTAGGGTGACCCGCTCCCTTCTCCATCTGGGAGCGCAGGAAGACCCCTTGCAAGGTCGTGCTGAGGATTTTGTGCATTATCTGCACGGTAAAGTCGCTCAAATTCGGGAAGGCTTGGACTCTGACTGGGTAGGTACAGGCGGGTTGTCCGAGGTGTGTCTTGAGACGGTTATCTGGGATGAGTTTGACCCTGTGACTCCCGAGGATGTGGACAGGATGCTGGGGAGGTTGAACGCAACCACATGTTTATTGGACCCGTGTCCCTCCTGGTTGGTGCTGGCTACCCGGGAGGTTACACGAGGCTGGCTCCAGAGGATTATAAATGCTTCCTTAAGTGAGGGATTCTTGCCTCCCACCTTGAAAGAGGCGGTGGTGAGGCCCCTCCTCAAGAAGCCTTCTCTGGACCCAGCTGTTTTAGCAAACTATCGTCCAGTTTCCAACCTTCGCTTCTTGGCGAAGGTTGTTGAGAGTGTGGTTGCGCGACAGCTCCCGCAGTACCTGGATGAAACTGTCTATCTAGATCCATTCCAGTCCGGCTTCAGGCCCGGGTACAGCACGGAAACGGCATTGGTCATGTTGGTTGATGATCTCTGGAGGGCTCGGGACAGAGGTTGCTCCTCTGTTCTGGTCCTATTAGACCTGTCAGCGGCTTTTGATACCATCGACCATGGTATCATGCTGCGCCGGTTGGAAGGGTTGGGAGTGGGATGCACTGTTTTACAGTGGTTCTCCTCCAATCTCTCCGACCGGTCGCAGTCTGTGTTGGCTGGAGGGCAGAGGTCGACCTCAAGGCACTTGGTTTGTGGGGTGCCACAAGGGTCGGTCCTCTCACCTCTCCTGTTCAACATTTATGTGAAGCCGCTGGGCGAGATCATCCGTGGTTTTGGGGTGCAGTGCCATCTGTACGCTGATGACACCCAGCTGTACATCTCCACCCCAGACCACCCCAACGATGCCCTTGAAGTGATGTCCCAGTGCCTGGAGGCCATACGGGTCTGGATGGGGAGGAACAGGCTCCAACTCAATCCCTCCAAGACTGAGTGGCTGTGGCTGCCGGCGTCCAGATATAGTCATCTGGTGCCATCGCTGACTATTGGGGGCGAGACATTGGCCCCCACGGAGAGGGCGTGTAACTTGGGTGTCCTCCTGGATGCACGGCTGTCTTTAAAAGAGCATATGACGGCCGTGGCCAGGGGGGCTTTCTATCAGGTTCGCCTGATACGCCAGTTGCGCCCCTTTCTGAATCGGGACTCCCTATGCACGGTCACTCATGCCCTCGTCACTTCCCGCCTTGACTACTGCAACGCTCTCTACATGGGGCTCCCCTTGAGGAGCACTCGGAGGCTCCAACTGGTGCAGAATGCGGCCGCGCGGGTACTTATGGGGGCGACATGGCGCTCCCACGTGACACCTCTCCTGCGTGAGCTGCATTGGCTTCCAGTGGTCTTCCGAGCGCGCTTCAAGGTGTTGGTTCTCATCTTCAAAGCGCTCCATGGCTTAGGACCCGGTTACTTACGAGACCACCTTCTGCCTCCGATAACCTCCCACCGGCCAACACGCTCCCACAGAGAGGGCCTCCTCGGGGTACCGTCTGTCAGGCAATGTCGGCTGGCGACCCCCCGGGGAAGAGCCTTCTCTGTGGGGGCACCTGCCCTCTGGAATGAGCTACCCCCAGGGATGCGACTAATCCCAGACCTCTGGACCTTCCGCCGGGCCCTGAAGACTTTTTTATTTCAGCAAGCTGGGCTGGGTTAAAAAATTTTTTTAATTGGGGAATTTTATGGGTAAGGGGTTTTAAATTGGAGAAGCCAAAGATAATTTAATTTCATTTTAATGTATTTTAATATTTGTATTGTGTGTTTTTAATTCTGGCTGTTCATCGCCCCGAGTCCTTCGGGAGAGGGGGCGGTATAAAAATTTAATAAATAAATAAATAAAAGACCTTGGAGTACTCATCTCAAATGATCTAAGTGCCAGAGCTCACTGTAACAGCATTGCTAAAAAAGCGTTAAGAGTTGATAACCTAATCTTTTTTTTTAATAATTTTTTTTATTTTTAAAACAAAAACATAAAACACTTCTTTTCAAAACGAAGCTTTTGCTCCAGTCACATATTAAAGCAAATCATTAACAAATCTTATTTTTCAATTAACATAACTAAATATTTTAAACAAGTATTTCCCTCAAATCTGTCTATGTAACTATGCCATTATCCCCAAAAACCCGTTACTTAAATCTTAAATCCTAACCAGTTATCAATCCATTTTTCTCTTTCATTTGCTTAGATGGATATATTTTAACAATATAAATCTTACAATTATATTAAACATTCCAAAACTATTTAATTTCAACATACCCATTTTATTTCTAACTATTAAACTCAAAATTTATATTCTTTATTTCTATTATTAAACCTAACTTATTCATTTTATCTTAACTCTCACTCTCAACATACACCTCCTCACTTTAATTATCTCACCTCATTTTATATTTTCCTAAAGAAACTCAGCGTTATTGTCTTTATCTTTGTTGTTAAACCAATCATTTTTATTTCTTGACTGTTAAACACAGCACAACCATTTGTTTTGGCTGTTGAAACAGCATATCCTTTTTAATTTTTTTGGCTGTTACACAGCATACCCTTTCTTATTCAGCTGTTAAACACAGCCTATTAATTCTTATTTTTTGGGCGTTACACAGCATATTCCATTTTTTTGACTGTTAAACACAGCATATTCATTTTTGGTTTTTTGGCCATTACACAGCATATTCAGTTTTATTTTGGCTGTTACACAGCATAATCATTTTTTTTTTTTTTGGCTGTTCAACACAGCATATTATAACTTTTTGGCTGTTAAACACAGTATATTCATAGTTGGTTTAACTATCAATCTCTACTTAAACCTTTCTTTGTTGTTTCCATCCATCTATGCATTGCTTTTTCACATAATCTTATTTTTCTGTATTCTTTTCCATGACATTCATGACATTTTAACATTGAGACTTGCTTAAAACATATCTTTAACTGTATTTATAAATTCCTTTTAACATTTTCAATTACTCATATTTATCCTTATTCTTTTCTTAACATTTTGACATTAAAACATAGTTCTTGCATCAAGCATATCTTTACATGTATTAATTAATTTCTTTTAATATTCTTGATTTCTATAAAAACCTCCCTTTTATTATTACAATCCATCTTTACTTTATTTTTAATCACATTATCTTCATTTCCTCACCTGCAAACATATATTTCCTTCCATTTTCCAAGTTTTTAATTTTGTTCTCCATAAATCAAGTTAATTCTCTTTTCTTATTTTTATTCCGGATATGATATATCAAATCTTTTTCTTTTGAGGCTGCGCTTAATCCTTCTATTCTTGCACCAGCATTTAAATTATTATTATTTCAACTGTAGGAGTTCCATTGTAGATTTCTTTTCTTTTCACCATAATCAAACTGCCTACATACAGGAAAAAAAAATCCTCCTCCACAGAGTTCAGTAATTTTTATCTGTAAAGTTCAGAGTTTCCCATAACAAAGGGAAGTTACAAAGTTCCTCTTTACGCCAGATGGTGTCTCTCTATAATCCACATTTTCCATTAGTCATGCAGGACTCCATTTTATTTATTATTATATAACCATCCAATTTATTTCTTCTTTTAATTAAAAAAGTATCAAATCTTTTTTCTTTTTAAAATCCAATTCAAAATTTTAAAGTGTTTAGTCTTTTAACCATATCTTCAGATTAATTCTCTTAGTTCAGTTCCAAAATTAGTTGTTTCTCGGGTCTTTGTCTCTTTAAAGTTGTAGTTTTAAAAAAATTTCCAAAGCCCCTTTGTTGCATAGCCGCTGTTTTAGGCTAGGGATCTTCTCATTATTAATAATGCTCCAAACATTGTTACAAGCCTGGGCTGTTGTCACTCACCCGGTTTCAAAGAGCTCCATTTTTCTCCGCTTTCCTCCAGCACTTTTCTTGCCCGGTTGTCCCAGCTTCGTGGCAGCCGCCATGGCTACCGCCCCCCGCTGCCAACTCACAGAGGGTTCCCTCTGACCTCTGAGGATCTTGCCTGTTCCTCTCAGTC